AATAGAGAGGCAAACCTCCACAGTAGAAGGAAAATTTATTACTTAGAGAGAAAAAAATATACACCTAGATAGAGTGGGCCGTGATAAGCCGTACCTCCCAAACTGCTCTAATATATCATAAAAGAACTGAAAAAGCTAAATGCATACATAAAACAGAATCAAATAAAAAGGGTTACCCACCAAGAATTTGAAAAAAGAAACACAGTTATAACTAAAGGAAGAGAATCTCATCAATTAAGTAAAGAAAAAATAGAGCCAAGATTTATAAGCAAGCTACCAGTTAAATTCTTGTTAGGATCCCACATTGAAAGGGAAAAGGGTAGGCATGTGGGTTATATAGGCTTGGGCACCCTCCCTTGACAAGCCGATTTTCCAAGGAGAGTTCTACCCAATCTCATGAAAGACCGATAGCCCAACCCAAATTATTGAGTTATTGAAGTGGGTTCCTATCAATTGGTATCAGAGCATGATCTAGCGCACGTGTGGCAAGCTGACCCGTGGTAGGCTGAACTTGGACCCGGGCTGTTACCCAGAGAAAAGGCATGGAGACCCGAGGAAAAGGGGTTCCGCGTAGTCACCCAAGGGGTAAAGAGGCCGATGTGGACGTCGGTTGCGGAAGCATGGTGGAATGTTAGGATCCCACATTGAAAGGGAAAAGGGTAGGCATGTGGGTTATATAGGCTTGAACACCCTCCCTTGACAAGCCAATTTTCCAAGGAGAGTTCTACCCAAGCCCATGAAAGACCCATGGCCCAGCCCAAATTGTTGAGTTATGGGAGTGGGTTCCTATCAATTCCCCTCTTGAAAATAACAATTTAGCTAGGAAAGGCATAACTTTGATTGAGAAGGCACATAACCACAAAGGAAGAATGTAAAACCTCGTTTTTAATCCTAATATATATATATATATGTATCATACATATTCTTTGTGATTTTAATTTTTATCCAAGGGGAGTTTTTAAAAGTTTCATTGGGAGTGAAAATGAAAGGAATGAGAACCTTTGGGTTTGCATGTGACTAAGGGGAGAAATCTGGGCATTTTTTAACAGAAGCTGATGTGATAGGGTCATCGTGAGAATAAAAGAATTTTGGGGTAGTTTCATAATTTCAAGAAACTGTCTTATATATAAACTGGGCTATCGCCCAAAATGAAGAAGAAGAGAGAAAAACACAGAAAGACGAAAGGAAGAAGAAGAAAACGAAAAGTAAAAAGAGGAGGGAAGAATGGGTTTGGCCAAGAGGTAGAGTGAGAGTGAAAGTAAAGCGAAAATGGAGGAGAAATTTGAAACAGATCACTCCCATTTGGTTTCGGGTGTGGAAGAAAAGAGTGCTTGAAGCTTTCAATTTTAGTTCGGCTGAGCTGAATTTGTGAGTGGCAAAAACCAAACCCTTTTTCTCAATATTCTAGCTTACATGTGTCAATTGAGATGGACATTTAATTGGGTTCTGAAAGTTTGTGCTGAAATTAAGTGTTAATTGTTGAGTCTTGTTTTGAAAATATGAAGAATTTTACATGCATGGAGATACATTGCATCCAAATGTTTGAATCACACGCTGCATGTCATTTCTTTAAGATTATGGTTGAAATCCCTAGAATTTGCTTTTAAATTGAATAATCAGTATGTTTAGTACATGGGTGAAATCTCAATTGGTAAGTGGATTAAACCAAAATTCTTCTTTAAAAACTTAAATTCATGACTGTATGTTAAGTAATGTGTCATATCATGCCGTCTGTTGCATCTTGCTGTTAAGTGCAAATTTCTTTGCTTGCATGTCCTCGGCTGAACATGGAATGAGTGAAACTGTCCTAGATCTGACTTTAATAAAGTTTATTTGTGTTGCATGTCACCAGATTTTCCTATAAACATAAGACTCATGTTTGCATGTTAATATTTTGTTGAGAATCTGGCTATTTTGTGAAGCTATTTAAAAATCTTTTCTCTTCATGCTTCGGCTAGGTTGTTACCAGTGTTAGTGTAAGTAAATAAATGGTGGTTGTGTTGCTGGATAATATACTTAGGTGTTTTGGCCTGGACAATAGACTTGATGGTGTTGGAAGTATGCTTTAAATGAAATAAATAGCTTAATATTAGCTGCATGTACATATTTGATTTTAGCACCTTTTTATTGATGAAAAATCAGAAAAAAAATAAAATAAAATAAATAAATGGGTGTGTTATGATTTGTATTTGTCTTATTTATATACATATAACTAGGCTGAATTGGTTGGATTATTGCACTAGTTTTGGTCCGAAAATGTGTGACTTCATGCATCATATTCTTTGGTAGGAAATTCTAAACTGGTCAGATCAGTTAGAGAGGTGGGCAACATCATTCCCATCTCATCCTCCGGAAAAGACACTGCATCTGGACATCCACCTATCTGCAGGTTTGTAAGGCAGGTGAACTTGTGCAATCCCCACTCCTTCAGTGGCTTATAGATTTCGTGATTACCGGTAATTGTAAGAGATCTTAGGCTGGTAGGGAAACCTTCTACTGGAAACAATTTGATACTTGAATGACTCCTTATTGATAATTCTTAGAGACAGCTAAGGTTGTGAATACCGTAGGGCAGGTCTCTGAGTGTCTTACATCCAGACAAACAAACATGTAAATTAGTGTAAGCCCTCCTTCTGGGAAGGAAACAAGGTTTGAAAACTGTACATATATATGATAAAGATGGTTAAGATTGCATAGGCCCTCCCTCAGGTAACGAATTAAGATTTTCACATCCCAAGATAAATATTGTCCCAAGAGACATGGTACTATCAAAACTCTCTGCTATGGACTCTAGCTTTGAGCAATCCCAAATGTCAAGATGTGTGAGTGCCATGGGTAACTGTCCTCTTGGTGATATGCACATCAGAGATGGACATTCTTTGATACACAAGTTACTTAAGAAGAAATGCAGAGGCACTACAGTTATCCTCTATATCACCATACAAAAATTGCAATTTCTCACAATCTTTTATTGAAAGCTGTTTTAGAGATGGAGGTAGCTGACCTTTGACAATGAATGCAAGTGAATGACAACCTTCAATATGCAACCTTTCAAGACAAGAATTTTCATGCTTCATTCCCTTAGGTAAGGATGTTAACGCAGGGCAATTTATAATCTCAAGTTCACTTAGACTCAGCAAAAAACCGTCCTGTGGAAAAGAAACAAGAGTTGGGCTATCTTTGTCGTGCTTCACTTGTAGTAATGCTAAGTTTTCAATACTATATACACTAAAAGTTTCATTTATTATAAGTGAGGTACCTAAATATGTGTGAGTATGCAAACTTCATGTTCCACGAAAAAATTTGCATGTTCAATTCTCTATAGGAATTCTAATACAATTCTAACAATCAACCCAATATCTACATATTGATATAGAATATTGTATTCAAAGATTAAAGATTAGAAAAACTTGATTCTATCATAGCTTCAAATTCCTTGAATTCCTTGCAAGTAGTGGTCAATCTTTCTTTCCAGGAATGCTCCAGAATGATGACTTTCAAATAGGGTTCAGCATTCAATTGTGTTTTGGAAAAGAGATTTAACCAATTTATGTCAATGTATTGGGCCCTCCCATTAAGGTCTAATAAATTCTAAAAGATCATTACAAGTCCAAACCCACACTTGTCTCAACTCATATTATTCAAAATGAAATATTTTAAATAAATTTTGAAATAATCACATAAACTCATCAGAATATTTCATTAGATTATGTATTTATCCAGTTTTATCAAACCAAAACATAATTAATGTTAGCCCGCAACTAGGGAATTTTCTAACTTTCTGTACTTTTTCAACGTCTTGGACAACCATCAAATTAAAATTTCAGAATATTGAATGAGAGAAAGCAGGTTTAGACCAATTCTTGAAAGTTGATGCATGTAACGCATTGCAAGCCATTTTGTCAAAATTGTTGAAACAAGGATTTAGTCTACAACAGCAAGGCCTATATGGTATTGGCCCAATAAAAGCCTTCCCAGCCGTCGACGCCACCGTTTTAGAATACGAAGAATACAGCGTTCAACTCCCTTCTCTTATTTTTATTTTCATTACATTTCTTACGTAAAGAAATCCAATACGCCCATCGTTTAGATTGCTCTATGTTTGAATTACTTGTTGGCCAATTTCAAACATAGGGCAAGTTCATTAAACACATGGTTCAAAGTGACGTTCAAGGAAGGGAAGTCTTATTTGGCAATGCCAATACAATCTTCTTTTGTCTTTTGTCAACAAAATAATCCTGGCTCGCTGGGTAGTTAGGTAATACTTTTTAGTTTATAATAAAAGATTTATAGCATAATTTAATCTCTGATTAGTAAAAGGGTATCAAGTTTTGATGCATCTCAAAAGATAGAGAATCAGGATTGAGTAATGCTACACTTACATCACTTTTTTATACAATTTTCATTACATCATGATGTGGTATATGTCATAACCACACAAAATTTTAATTATTTTGAATTTTTAATATTATAATAGAATTTGTGTGGTTATAGCATATGCCACATTATGATGTCTACAAAATAGTATAAATATAGCATTACTCATCAGGATTTTTACACCTAGGCTCATTCCATTCGCCCAGTACGCGTAATTGCCGCGCTGGGAATCATTCGAACATCCCATGGCATGAGATATTCTGCTCCACAAGAACATGATCAACCGAAATCTCTACTTCATCAAATCAAACAACTAGTATTAATTCTATACCAATCTGCAATGACGTAAATACCCTTTTTTTTTTACCAAAATTAAATTAATTAATGATAATTAATTTGTATTAGTAGGGTTTAATCTTTGTGCCGATTCTCTTGGGCTCAAGAAAGTAACTCAATTATAGACCGCCTTTCTCTTTTTAATCCACCAACTTCTGGTGCCGGTGGCATCTTAACCTTTATTATCACTCTTGTCTCTGTATATAAGTTAGAAACATACAACATAACTTCCGCAAATCTGAAACTTCTACAAACCCTAATCTCTTAAATTTTCATTTTATTCGTCCATGGGATCAAGCCCGATCAGCCTTCAAACCGTATTGTGTGCACCAGGAGTGAGGGGAAGGAGAGCCACGGCATTCAGAAAAGATGGGTTGACTGAATTTATGCAGTCAATTATGTTCAAAAAACAAGAACTGAAAGAACCCTTTTACGTACTCGATTTAGGAGTTGTCGTTTCGCTCTTTGACAAATGGACCCGCAGCCTTCCTACTGTTCGTCCATTTTACGCCGTCAAATGTAACCCTGAGCCTGCTCTTCTGGGTGCACTTGCGGCTCTCGGGGCAAACTTTGACTGCGCGAGCCGGGCAGAGATTGAAGCCGTTTTAGCACTGGGGTTGAAACCGGACCGGATCGTTTATGCAAACCCGTGTAAACCAGAGTCTCATATTAAGTACGCAGCAAGTGTCGGCGTTAATTTAACAACTTTTGATTCGAGAGACGAAATTCAGAAGATCCGGAAATGGCATCCGAAATGTGATTTACTATTAAGGATCAAAGCGCCAGAGGACGGTGGAGCAAGGTGTCCACTGGGCCCGAAATACGGTGCACTTCCCGATGAAATTGCGCCACTACTCCAAGCCGCTCTAGCTGCGGGACTCAGTGTCACCGGTGTTTCGTTTCATATAGGAAGCGGAGACACACACTCTCGCGCGTATCATGGAGCCATAGCGGCGGCTAAAACGGTTTTCGAAACAGCAACTAGGCTTGGTGTGCCCAAAATGAATGTACTAAATATTGGTGGCGGTTTTACGGCTGACCCGAAATTTGATGAAGCAGCTTCAGTGGTGAAATCTGCTCTTCAAACTTATTTCCCAAACGAACCGGGATTGAGTGTCATATCCGAGCCTGGTCGATTTTTTGCGGAGTCAGCTTTCACGTTGGCCACAAACGTAATAGGGAAGCGTGTTCGGGATGAACTAAGGGAGTATTGGATTAACGACGGGATTTACGATTCTATGAATTGCATTCTGTATGATCATGCAACTGTCACGTGCACGCCCCTTGCTTGCACGTCGAATCGTGCAAACCCCACGTGCAAGGGATTGAGGACCTACAACTCCACGGTGTTTGGACCAACATGCGATGCTCTAGATACAGTATTGACCGGTTACCAGTTACCTGAACTTCAGGTGAACGACTGGCTTGTGTTTCCGAATATGGGTGCTTATACGGCTGCTGCTGGCTCCAGTTTCAACGGGTTTAACACGGCTTCCATTTTGACTCATCTTGCGTACCGTAATCCAACCTAAGCCATTTCATGGTTATGTTATTCTATGCTATGCTTAATGGTGGCTTACTCGAGAAAATGTAATTTAGTTTTTGTTTTGTTACTTGACCAATTATTACTGTCATGTATATCGAAGCAATGTACCAATTAATTTTAGGTCATAAAGACTATCTTTTTAACTCTGCTTCTTACTCTTAATTTGCCCAAATTTAGTTATTTGAAATATAGTACCATTAATATGAATCATTTAGCACATGACAAAACCTTAGGTTAAATCTTATATTACCTGATATATTAGACTTGTAGGCTGTTCGATAGACTCTGGCTTGACCCTTTAAGATGCATGCAAATTGACCAAACACCTAATTAAAAAAAAAAAAAAAAAACACATTAATGTGAACAAAATTGAATATTCTGAATTTCTGATAGAAATAGTGATTAGGCCCAGCTCATATTAGCCTACATTTGGTCCAACCCAGTTTCCTCGATGGGCCGTGACTAAACTAGTGGGATTTATGAGAATTGAGAAGCCGTTAGACTGCTTGCCTGAATTTGTGATCAAGCTCAACAGATAGGTTGCAACGACAGTCACGTCTCTGTTTTTGCGCTCCATCGCCATGGAAACTCTAAGCTCCTCTGCTTCAATCGTTTCCTCATCTTCTTCTCCTCTCTCTGTCTTCTCCATCAAGACTACCAAAAACTCACCAACTAGGCTTCTCCGATTCCAATCTCCTTCCAAAAGTAAGATCCTCTCAATCTTTTTCCATTTTATCATTTCATTCTTCTTTTTTCCTTTTTCTTTCCTAATATAAGTCTTTCTGTTGACACAGAGAACGGTAAAGACTACGATCTCCAATCGAACTCCGATGAGACCAGCATCGTCCCTCTTTTCAGCAACCAAACACTCTCAAAGGTAAAACTTCACAACATAATTTACTGATCAGATTCTGAATTGATTTTTTTGGGTGGAAAAATGGTAATTGCGTTATGTTTGATGGAATCAGGATGATGCGATGGGATTAGTTCTTAGTGCAGCATCAGTGAGAGGATGGACAACAGGTTCAGGTATGGAAGGTCCATCCGTGCCAGCTGGAGCTGAGGACGGATCCAGTACAGAGAAGGTCTCAACATTCCCCTGGTCTCTCTTCACAAAATCACCACGTAGGCGCATGCGCGTTGCTTTCACTTGCAATGTTTGTGGCCAGAGAACTACTCGCGCTATCAATCCTCATGCTTATACTGACGGCACCGTTTTTGTTCAGGTAATTTACGAAATTGATGAAAAAAAATTTATGTTTAATTGTTAGGGTTGTCTTATGTGAATTGATTTGATTCATGGTTTTTGCAGTGCTGTGGCTGCAATGTGTTTCATAAGTTGGTGGATAATTTGAATCTGTTTCATGAGATGAAGTGTTATGTGAGTCCAAGTTTCAATTATAGAGATCCCAAATGGGATTTGGGTGGCTTCAAGTTGTTTGATATGGACGACGAAGATAGTAACGATGTGTTTCCTATGTAAAGAGGTGAAATAATGGCTTGTATACTGTACATTCCTTCTGTTAAACTGTGATGTTTATTTAGATGATGTGTACATAATTACTATTTTAGATGGGTTAGTGTAATTAAATAAGCTATTGGATTCATTTAAAGCTGGTACATTTATGTAGTGGATCTTTATGATATATTGGAAAAACATGGAACCTTAATATTGATAGGGATTTCTATAGCAATATATTGCATGCTTTGCAGATATGAAATGCTCCCAATATTTGTTATTGCTTTGGTTTGGCTACTCTTCACTCAAGGTTAGGATTAATTTTTTGGTTAGATATTGGAATGGCTTTAAGAAGGGCAAAATTTTGTGATAGTATTTATGAAAAGCTATGACTTTTGGTGTGAGTGCTTTTCTTCTTGTGGCTTTATTGGTAGCATATTATTCTCTCTGGTGGTTGTTGATGAACTAAGCTAGAGAGCGGGATATGTTGGTTGGTTTAAAGAATATGTTTGCATTTTTGTTTTTATCTGGGAACTTAGCTTTGATTTAGTTAACATGTTGGTTTCTCTGTGGTATGCTGTGTTAACTAAGAGACTTCCATGTGTGATTGGTTAAATCAATACCACTTTCATGTATTGTGGTATGTTAAATCAGTATTCAGTTGTCCCACTTTCATATATTGTTTTGACTAAGTTAAATCAGTGCCAAGTATTGCCATTTTCATGTATTTTTCTAAGTTTAATTAGTACTGAATATTCCCACAATACTAGTTTGGTTATAGTTTTATTAATATAACCAAAAATCTTGAAGCTGTTTAGGTTTGTAGAAGAAAAAGAGCTCCATGTAGAGTTTTTAATCCAAATTACCCACAAAGGTTTTTATCTGTGAAAAATTATAAAACAAAAATGTAAATCCCATGAACCATTTCCTTAATTTCATTGCAATGGAATTTTTGTGTATAGAAGACAAGTAGATTCTTATTGTTATATTTCTAATTTTCTACAATTATTCATGTTATTTATTTATTTACTTATTTTGTCTTTCTGCTACTGAGGAAGCTATTTACATTAAATAAACTGTCTGCATTCTTTTTAGGTTGCTTAGATAACTTAGTTAACTGCAAACGACAGAGTAAATGGCTTTATTGGGTCGTAAGGGTGTAACTGCTATTCATTTTTAATTTAGGCAAGAAGTGATTGTTTTTAGTTTTATTGCCTTGGCTTTACACTTTTCGGAATAGGTTGGCATTGTTCTGTATGAATGACTCTAGGAAATGTGTAGGGATGGGCTGATAGGCAATTCATAGTTTTTGGCTTTGTTTAGTGACTGATGATGTTTTATTTGAGGTGCTCACATGAATGATGGAATGGAGCATACATAGGACATAACTGGTATCTGACCAGATTAAATTAAAAATGTTATTGCTAGTCACAAAATCCTATTGGTTTTCCATAATAATGAGAGAGGCAGAATAATCTTTAATTGAATTCATACAACATGTGAGTGCATTTATTTATATCATGTGGTTGATTAAATTTACAGAACAGTTACTTCAAAGAAAATTATGTTATTACTAATGTGGTTGATAAGATCACAAGATACCTTTCTCCAGCCTTAAAAATCTTGATAGTAATTAGACTAGAATTCAAGAGATGTTAATCTTCGTGTATCATATTGGGCCATCAGTCTTCTTTTTCCAATTCCGAATGGAGTTTGTGTGATCGAATTCCTTTAGTTACACCAAGCTTTCAAGTTGGCCCATGTTCCTGTAATGTAGAGAGTGCTACGAGATGACCTCTTTAGTATTTGTCCATTGCAACCTTCGACAGTTCTGCGTGTGATTACTCAAACATTGCTGAGGTTTTGAAAGTTTAAACTAGGTTTAATAGATTTTGATGTTTGATTGAAAAGGTTCCATATCCAATTCATTAACGTACGAAATGTTGGCCTCGAACATGAAATCTAATAACCACCATTGCACCTGAGCAACCTGTGTCACATATGTGATTAGGGGCCGGCCGTCTTGGTAAAATATCTATTGCATCAACATCATTTGTACCACATATTTGGTTTATTAAATAATGCATGATATCTTATTGGGGCTGTCCATATTCAAAACTAACCTTTGTCTCATTTTATAACCTCAATACGTGGGAAATATCTTTGCCCAAACTGAACACATAAGGAGGGGAATTCCATTAAGGAATATGTATGTTGTGGGGGTAAGCCCGGTAAGGTAACCTAGTTTATACCATTTTATTAGCCCCTTAAAGCGATGGCATCCACGTGGGGTTAATCTAATGGTACAAAATTGGGGCAACATCTACCATTTGATCATTTGATCAAATCAATCAAACTTCTGGCCCGGAAATACAATCCATCATTTGAAGTAGTGATTAGTTTGTAAATGAAGCCAAATTCGACCCGCAAATTCCAGGCAAAACTTATCCTCTTCCTCTCCAATTCGCTACTTCTTATATATTCCCATTCTCTACCTCACATCACCACGTTGATGCCACGTCAACAGATAGTATCCAACCTAGCCAATGAGATTGATTCTCAGTGGATTACCCATGTCTGTACGCGCCCACTTTGTCATCCATTTATCTAAACATGTTCATCCTCAAATATAAACCACACAAAAAGAACTTGGCAATCGAGTCACCTTAATAAGAACCAACCTCACTCTCTTCCTCTTTTGATTCCCTCAACTCATAGCTCTTTAACACAACCCACAAAGAAGATAAAATTAACTATCAACAATGGCCACTGTCACCTCCGCAGCAGTTGCTATCCCATCATTCACTGGCCTTAAAGCCGGTGCATCTACAGCCAGAGTGAGTTCCAGTGTCAAGGTTTCTGCCTCTCCTGTTCCTAGGATGAGTGTGAAGGCCTCACTCAAAGATTTTGGTGTTGCTGTTGCAGCCACAGCTGCTAGTGCAATGCTTGCTAGCAATGCCATGGCCATTGAGATTTTACTTGGTGGTGATGATGGGTCATTGGCTTTTGTTCCAAGCTCTTTCTCTATTAGCCCTGGAGAAAAGATTGTGTTCAAGAACAACGCTGGGTTCCCACACAACGTTGTGTTCGATGAGGACGAGATTCCAAGTGGTGTTGATGCATCAAAAATCTCCATGTCTGACGAGGACCTCCTCAATGCCCCTGGAGAGACTTATGCTGTTACTTTGACTGAGAAAGGAGAATATTCTTTCTACTGTTCCCCTCACCAGGGAGCTGGAATGGTGGGAAAGGTGACCGTTAACTAAGTGTCCATCAATCAAGACTTTGTTTGGGTCATCTCATAATCTTTTTCTTCTTTTTCCAATTTGGTGGTAATTGAGTGAGTCTATATGAGTATCAGACTTGGGGCCTGGGGGACGAGAGCAGTGTATGTGGTGCACCAAACCAATATATGCTTTTGTAATTTTCATGTATTTTGCAATGTAGATTAATTAAATTTATGCTTTTTATTTCTTTGTAATTATCTGAATATTTACTCTATACCCAATTCTTCCATTTTTTTTATGCGTAATTAAATTATATTGAAATAAGTTGGAGTGCATTTGGGGTAAAGGATAAATCTAAACTTGATGAGACCAATTTCAGTATTAAAAATTCATTACAAGGAAGCAAGCATCACCTCTCAAAAGTTTAAATGACAAGTTTCATTATTTCCTGAACTTCAATTGCCAGAACTCAGAAGTACTTCCAACTTTTATTGCCTCTTTTACAAATTGAATTTCAAGTTAGCTCTCTCTTTCATTCCGTTCCCTCCATATACATAACGGAGGTGGGATGACTGTACAATTACATTACGAAGTGAATCACCTTTTAATGTATCATAAATTAGATTGTACAAGAGAACTATATGTTCACATATACCTTGCCCCACCTTTTGGGTCAAGTTGATTTGTGAGTATGAAAATTAAAGGCGTTTATGTAGTTAGTGCATCAGGAAGATTTGTACGTGCTCCAAGCACCTTACCACCAACATCTGGGAATGTTTCAAATCCAGGCAAAGGGCTTTCTTTGCCATCGCTATTTACCTCCACTGGATATTTGAGAAGGTGACCCTGCAATAGCGTAAAAGCCTCTTCCGTGAAACTCTTCCAGTTATCTTCGGCAATCTTGTTCACAAACTTCACACAATCCAAACTTTCTGGTTCCCTGAAGCGACAATCGACCATCCCCAAGTGTTCTGCCCACAGTGACATTCTGTATCCATAAATCTGCAGATGCCATCAATTACTCTCAGATTCAGAATTAAATGCAGTAGTCTATTTCAAGTAGGCAAGTTTGTAAGCATGCCCAATTTCCCATACGTTAAATAATCAATTAATCAACTGCATTTGATTGGTTCAGCCCACGGTATATAGCAACCGAAAAACTCTAAAGCATGCAATTAATTATGTGATGTAACTTGTCAAATGATGAGGAAGTACAAACCTGACCGCGCGGATGTTCCTTCTTCTTACCCCATGTGTGATGGGGTTGATAGGCCCCTATGGCTATCTCAGTGTCTCTGGAACCAGCCATAGATCGCTGATTAATATTGGCAGATCCCAAAATTACATACTCATCATCAACAATCATTCCCTTGGCATGCACATAAATCATGAAGCGTTGAAATTTCTGTGAGGCTGAAACCTGAAAATAGATTATGAAGTACTTATTTCTCAAATTTGTCATGATGTAATAGAATTATAATGTTCCCAGTCATAAATTTACCAGATGTTGAAGACAACAAGAAAGCATGATAATTGTTTCAACAGTTTTAGTAAAAATAACATAAAATAAAATCAGTGTAGTATAATTACCGACTCTCCACTGGTGGCTGTACGGTTACTTGAATCAGACCCTTCTTTGGGAATTTCTTCTCGATTACCAAGACAGTAAAAGTTTAGGTAGTCTTGTGGATGTGCATCCACCATATCCATGGACTTCAACTCTTTTGCTATGATTCCATACATCATTTGCCTGGTCTGTCCCTGCAAAAGCAAAAATGCAAATTAACACCAAAAATTATGGTTTCACGTCAGTGTCATGTATAAAAACACACCCTCCACAAAACATAAGTCCTGTTGACCACCAAAACCGATTTTGTTACCAGCTTTTGGGTTAAGCATGTCACTGTTGTGAAAAGGCAGAACTATATATTAAACTGCTTCCATTAGGACTTAAAATACCACTTTTGATATGATGGTTTATGATTAGTTAACTCAATACAATCAATATGTTCACAACTCCAATTTAGCACCTCCTTTCTCAACTTCCAGTGCTTTAACTTGCCTACTTGACCTCTTGGATTGAGACGATTACATGTCCAATTACCTGCCAAAAGAGAATTGCTTGGACGGAGGCAGAAGAAGGGACACCCTCGGGCCACATCGGTATGACAACATAAACTGCAAATCTCTCTTTTGCTCTGATCTTACTAGCAATCTTCAATGCCAACTCCATTGGGATCAGATTATCAGCATCTAACAACACCAATACAGTAATGACTTTAAGAAGAAAGATTTAATAATAGGAAAGAAGAAATTGCCAAACTATAACTGAACATAAACCCTGGTCAGAAATAAACATAAAAGCGCATAAAAAAAATAAAAGGACAGGTCAGTGCTGAAAATTTAGGGATAGAAATGTAATATGCAGAAAAGTGAAAGATGGAAGTGAACCTGCATCTTTGTAAGAAGGCCACCCGTATGATGATCCAAGGAAATATTGGTTCTCAATATATATAAAGTGTTGTGCAGATCTAATTGCCTGAATATATGCTTTTTGAATGCTCTGGTCTATCACCAAATTTTTGGCACAAACAAGATTCTGCATTAAAAGAGAAAGTTATCAATAGACCAACTACTTTATATTGCACAAAACATGAGAAATACAACAAGCACACACCAGACTAAAAGAGTGCAAATATGAGTCAATTTATAGATTTTTTTTGTTATGTTCGGTATTTATGTCACAAGGGGGAAAAAAACAAGAATAAGAAACCTGAGCTTCAGCTTGAAAAACATCTTTCGGAAATCCTTTCACAGATCCAGAATCTATAGATCGAAAAACCTGACATTTAGAAAGATCAATAGAGATTAAAATATTACCAAACAATTAAAAAATAATCAAAACTTTGCATCAGGAACTGCCAATTAATTAACCTGAACATGCCAATTTTCAGGATCTTCCTCCTTGGAAACACATAATATAGGATCATCCTTAGTTATCAATGCAGAAGGACTAAGTATCCAAGAGATGCGTTCTAACTTTATTAGAGCATCATCATGCCAACGAGTTACCCTTTTGAACCGTTGTCCAAATTCTGACCATTTTGTGGCTTTTCTCCAACGCTGCTCAAAGTTAGTAAGCACATCGTATGCAGCAGGACCTTCAATTTTGCAATGCAAATCATGCCATGGTTCTCTTGGACCCTTGGTTCCTACCTACACTTAGAAAGGAAAAAAGAGTGAGAATACATTTCATCTGGTAAGATCCAGCCCGAGAATAGAATCATTAAAATCTAGTTGAAACTCTCAGGGTTCTTACGCATCAGAACCAGAGTCATCTATAGAATACTAAGATCTGCAGGAAGCATCCTATAGTTCTTGATGACACTATTAGTATTTAAACTATAATAAACCCCACCTAACAACCACTGAGAAATACCAAGAGTGTTTAACAGGGAGACCATAGGAACTAGGAGTCATACAGGCTAAAAAGTAAAGGATTTGTAAAGTTTGCCTTTTTATCAATCTGACCTGCATTCCTGTTTTATGTCTTTTCAGGAAGAAGGATAATGTTTATGAACCATATAACAATGACAGTAAAAGCTGCAGAACCTTCCAAATTTTCAGTTCAGCACTTCAAAAATTATATCCAGGTAAATTTGGAAAATTAGTACACTTTAAAACAGAATGCAAAATTCCAAGGAAAAAGAAGGTACTCACAGAAAATGTCGGATTGTGATAATCACTTTGAAATACTGTGTCAAGATCCCGAAATAGTCGATGTTCAGGTGTATCATAGCGTCCATCGCAAAGGTCAAGTCCACCTAAAAAAGCATTTATCTTCCGGTTATTTCCAGGTGCTTGAGTATCCACAATCACACATTTCTGATGATGCGTGAAGAGGGTTCCAACGACCTGAAGTCAAATGCCACACAAAAACTGTAAGCCATAAGACAAATCATTCTGTCATAGACTTTTCAATTATTAGATCAGGAAATTGTATAATTTGACACAAAAAAAAAAAAAAATAGACTGCTTAATAGGTTCTATAGATACTTAAAATAAGTTATGCATGCTCGTGCATTCACCATTACAAAAGATCCATTACCTATGAATTCCATAAGTCAAATCATTCTCACATAGCCTTTTCAATTATTAAATCAGGAAAGTCTATAAGTTGACAAGAAAATAGATTGCGTAATAGTTTCTATAGGTACTTTAAATAGGTAATGCATGCTTGTGCATTCATGATTACAAAGGATCCCTGACCAATGGATTCCATAAGCACAGTACTCTTCATTTGACATGCGGGATGGGGAATAAGCAGAAAATGGAACAATATCATAACCACGGGCACAGAAAGATATAAACATATAAAAGTGACAGATAACAGCGTGATGAATAACCAGTAAAATTATAGGTTGAAGAGTTCAAGGAATACATAAGCTGGTTGCAAAAGAAATGGAATAACATCCAGCACAAAACAATCCTTGCTTGGCTTATTCAGATTATATTTCACAATCATGAAATTGAGCAAAGAATATTCTGTTAGAGAATAGAGTCAAACATGATAATAGTTCAAATAGCTTGCATAAAGGTTATTTTATCAGGGAAAACTACTCCAAGTATATGCCATAAAAAGCAGTTCTACAATCAGAAACAAAATTATCAAAAATGGTGCAACATTAAATAGAACAAAACGGTAAAAAGCATGCCTGTTGCTTGAAAACGCTAAGCTTACTGCTAGCATAACGGGGTGACAGCACACAATGAACAGAAGAGTGCTTGAAAAACTTCCGAGTTTCTTCATCATGAGTCTGCATTACTCCTCTCTGCACCATAACCCAGTTCATATATATTAAGATTCACAATATCCAACCTCAACTAACACATTTCTCTTTTATTTTCTTGACTTAAATTTCCAGTTTTAGCAAGAACCTGGTTTCAAAATGACATGTCAATTACACACCGTAAAAATATATGTAAAAACAAACATGCATACCGTTTTAATGAAGAATTTGTTATGCGAAGTCTTATCATCCCAAACCAACAACAAAACTCTGACTCCTTCTTCAGATTTATACTTGAGCAAATCCCCCAAATTCAAATCTCCACCATTAGGTAATGGCCTCGTGGGTTCTCTAACCAGCTTCACTTTATCAAAAACTGACCAACCCAGTATGTAAACCAAATGGTGCGCCTCTAAAATCGCGTGACATATATCTTCCCAGCAACCCTGTTGCCTATAGACATTCCCGTTATCCAATTCAATCTCCGGTAGCATCGATTTCGGCACGTGCGCGTCCTGGTACAGCGTAACTGTCCCACCTTGTCGTACCGGGAAATAACAGTTCTTTACTTCAAAACGGTCAGGATTTGCCGCGATTCCGTAACGGTATAATGGGTTATCTTCACATGGTGTGAATCTCATTTCCATAAGAACTGCTGAGTCAGGCTTTGGCGGTTTGCCATATACACTTAATATTGGGAACCAATCACTTATTGATTCTCCAGATTTGATATTCAGAGCCGGAACAGTTGCGATTCCAATTAAGTCAGCGCCAAACACGTCGTTGTCTTTCACGTAGAACTCGATGTGAGACACCGGGTGAGCCAACGGGATTTTAAAGTGCTCGTTCCAGACAGGGCTTTGTGAATTTGAAATTACGCGAGTGCGCGCCACCGTAGCGCCGCCCAAGCAAACGGTGACGTATGGATCACTGGTGATTATTGTACGGTGAGATTTGTGTTTTACACCTTTAGAGAATGGTTTTCGAAAAGTGTCAAATGCTGTGAAGCATCGGGTAAGTCGCGCTGAGACCAAATCCATATTTGGCAATTCCCGAGCTTCAATTATTTTTAAATCCAGATCACCATGAAGATAAACCACTGTATCTGAAATATCATCCGCCATTCAGTTTAAATTTTATTTTATAAACTGAATGTAAAATAAAATTAATTAGAAGTGGAACGTGAACAACAACGTTGGCTGTAATCGGAGAAACCGTAGAGTAAGTTTCTCTATAGAATTGACCGTTAAATATAACGGCAAAAATATGGTTTCTCCGATGAAAACAACGGCCGAAAACCGATGGCGGTAGCGGTAGGTCGAAATGAAGAATGGACAGGTATTGTTTTGCACTGTATAAGGAAGTTTGTAGAACACGTGGCAGGTTTGTAGGTGAAAATGGTTGGAATATGAGTTTTTTAATTCAAGTGAATAAAATATTGAGTTTGGGGTGTCAGTTAGTAGTCGTTGATCAAAATCTTACCTTTAATAGGCAAAATACAAAAAGGCCAGGTTTCAAAATAGAATCAAGTTGACTCAGTTTCACCAACTACTTTTCCCACCCAAGGTTTGGTTGGGCCTAATGACATCTTTCCATCTATAAAGTTTTAAAATATAACTTTATTACTCAAACATTATATTTAGTTAAACATAGTGATATTTATTGTGAAAATGAAAATACACTTCACTATTTGATTTAATTTTTTTTATTATTATTATCTAGACCGTAAGTGGCGATAGGCGGCAATGTAACTCGGATGATGAACAATCAGCAAGTGGGTAGTAGGGTGGTGATGGCTTGGATTTTGGCCACCAAATTTGGTCAGAATTCAGTTGGAAGCAGCAAAACCCTAATCCAAACGGCAATGGGCAAAGGTGGGAGCAATCAGGCAATAGTCAAAGGGGTTTTGGAGTATGGAGGTCAGGGAATTAGTGGTGGGGAAAGGGCAAGCCAACGCCACCGATTTTGGTCATAATCGGACCTGAAAACAGAGGTTGTGCAATCGCTAAAGAAAATGCCAAATACGACTTGGAAAAGGTCATTCCAGCTGGAGAGTTATGAAAATGAGAAAATGGTGATTAAATATGTTAGTTTCGATGAGAAAATTGATAAAGATCAATGCAAAATGTCAACGACTACAAAAGAAGAAAAAGGAGAAGCAACTGGCCAAAGAAATAAGAAGAAAAATGAGAAAAACGAAATTAATGTTAATCGACCATCTTGCCATCACTTATAACGAACTTTCGACCATTATGCCTTTCTTTATAATGAAATCTACTAATAAAACTATGCAATGAGTAATAAAGTTGTATTTTGAAACTTTTTGAGTAGAAAATATCATTAGACCAAACCTTGGGTCGTTTAATCTAATTCAAATGGAGGCAACATGTGGCATATTATTATTTAAAGCAGTCAATCACGTGAAAACGTAATGGGTTTAATCTATACGTGTGATTCTTTTGCTTCACCCTATTGTGGCTTGTGACACTCATCGAGAAAACCCATATATTTTATTTATGATTTAATATTATAACCATGAAAATTTTGATTAGTCAATAATGCATGTTTTTCTTAATCATGTGATGATGTGTGATTTGAGTGAAGAAAGGAACTACTCCCACGTCTATGTTTTTAAAATATGAAAGAGGCATGTGAACGACTGAGATACAGGTGTGATCAAACGCATTTTACAGGGAAGGAAATTCAACTGATTCCTTATACAATGGTCCATAACCAGCATCGTTTTAGCCTATATAAATATGCAATCTGTGATATAACACAGGAATTGTCAAAATGGAGTGCTTCTACAATTAGACTCCAGCATTGTGGAAAATTCTGATGTTTGATAACTTAAAAATCTCATACTTCTCTTAAATATGTTGGCCTCATTGAAAGATTTGGAGTATAGTGAGGCCCAACAGGAAGATTTTAGACTGCTAGGAATGATTTAAGCTCTAAAAATCACATCCCCAAGACTAGGCCAGAGCAGGGTTGCAACAGCTGACTCTCTGAAATGGGATTCGAGGAGCTGCCCTTATCATGATACTCTGAATGAAGGCTATCATCTACACAAAAAAATTTCTCTTGGTGATTGGTTCCCACAACCAAAATCAATAAGTCTGAAATGCAGATATGCATGCAAGTAAAAGGGCAATCAGAAAAATTTCATCAGAGTGTAAAAGTTTTTACCGAAGCAAATCCGATGCACATAATACTGAAACCAGGGAAATTGAAGGGTGCTCTTTCAGACAGGAACAGAGCTGAAATAAAGTTTTAATGTATTAGTCTTAATTAAAATTTAGCTTTAAATTATACAAGGGTGAATCTGCATTCACCTGTTAGAGGGGAAAAAGCTAAGGGAGAAACAACACTAGCCAAGGAACAAATGCCCGAAATGCAACCTTGAGCCTTCCCCTGAATACCAAAAAAATTACAATAAAAGAATAAGTGCAAAAGGGAGTGGTTTCTATATGAAAGTAGTCTTGAGAAGGGAAAATTACTCGCTGACAGCAAGACATTCAATTAAGCATGCCAAGATTGAATTTGTCAGAAATCAAATCTTAGATTTTCTCTTAGTTATTTTCAGAAGTCAGCTGGAAGGTACATGTTTTTATCATTTTGGTCTGTTATGAATATGATTTCAAGTCTGATATTGACCAAGATAATGCGCATAAAGTGCAAATCAACCCCAAACATAAATACCTGCTCACAGGACCCAACTTGTTTAGATACAATGGTCCGCATCTGCACATTACCAAAATTACTCAAAAAACAATTCTTAAACCAAAGTTTGTTTTTTGTAACGAGAAGTGCAGTAAGAAGCTTACACAAGGATGTGCAAAAACGAAAAAAATGGAGAATACAGCAGCTGCATAAGGAACCTGTCATATTCAAAATGTTAACAATGATAACAACTAAGATGTAACTGAAGTTATCTAAAGTTTAATACAAAAAACGAAACAATATAATTGGTAATTATCAATATAGTGTGAAAGAAGAGAAAACAGATGGTCCAGAAAATTAAGAAACTTGTGATTGTCAGTGAAGTAGCAAAGAAAAAGTACCCAGACGGACCACGCAACGCTGTACAGAAACATCTGCATTCAAACCAATAAACTATCAAATAGGGGGGTTTTAAGTGTTATAATTACATTTTTCTGCAAGTGAAAAGGCAACAAACAATACAATATAATAGGAGAACGGTATGCTTAGCAAAAGGCAGCGAGTTGCATACATGAGCACAGTTAAATAGGAGTCCAATTGAAAGCAGTCTCTCCTCTCCTAGAACAGGAGCCAATATGGGCATCAGAAGTAGCTGCAAAAATGTTTCACTTCTCAAATCCACCAAGGAAGAATGAAGATATTGCAACAAAAATTAAACAAATGGAATAACAATCAAAAGGAATGGCAATCATGATCGGTACTAATCAATACAAGGCAAACCTGAGATATAGTCCCTGCAATCCCTGAAATCACCATTAAGTCAGCAAACTGATTCTTGTTGAAGTGAAACTTGGCCTTTAAGTAGTACTGCATAGAAAACATTAAAATCAAATCCATGCCCATACATCTCCTTATGTGCATAACAGACTGAATGTGACAACTTGCTATATATATCTGCTACAAGCAACAGCTGTTACGCTAAAATGTTTAGGGACAATTTAAAAAGTGCACAAACTAGTTCAGCCTAGAATAAACCGAACCCATTTTTATTTAGTTGGCAAAGAAAACGTACCATCATTGAAGCATGGAGACCAAGATCAGCAAGATTACTGAAAAATGCAACTACTGCAGCCTGTGAAAATGTTGTGCTGAAAATTTGGTATGTATTGTCAGTCAAAAAAGAAAGTCAATGTAAATATTGAGATTAGAAATAAAGGATAGACATCAAAGAAAGACGACTCTAAGGCACTAACTAATAAATTGAAATTATCAATATCAAAATGAACGAATTCACAATAATGACCTGCTCTTCAACAAGAAGACCATATCCTCAATAGAAGGAAGTCCTTCGAATAGTTGAACTTTGTCAGTTGAATCTTTCTCTTCCACTGGACAATTAATGTCTGCTTTCCCCTTTGAGAGTATTGGAGTATACAAACTTCCATCCCTGATTGAATCCGGGAGGAAAATCCTCATATACAATGCAGCTACAATAGCCACTGATGTAGCAACCTGATAAAGCAAAGTGAATTAAATGGAATCACATTATAAAATTAACAGGAGAAAGAGAGAGGTAATATACCTGGAAAGTGGAGGAAGTGGAAAGGAAACGAGTGGATACGTTTCCACAGACGAAAGCACACGATCCCATCCCAGATAATATTCCAAACACAGAAGCTCGTCGCCCTTCTGGAACATTGTCTGCCTGAAATTTTTGAGATGGAATAAAACTCCAAAATTGGGGAGGGAAATTTAAAAAAAAAAACGGTTATGTTTAGGCAAATAGAATCTTCACGGGCCTAGCCTAAACTCAAAGCCCAATTAAATACATTCGGGTCACTCTCAGTGTTAACAAACAAGAGTCATAAACGTAAGAGCTAGGCAATAATGTCATGAAGTTAAAAAGAGGGAGAGTTGATTAATTACCACATAAGCAAGAGAAAGGCAATGGACACTTCCTTCACAAACCATGGCAGTGAGAGTCCTGAGAATGTAGTAGGCGTAGAAGAAACCCCTCGTCCTGCTGTAAGCCAATATGGCTGAAAGTCAAAAGAAAAAGAGAAGTGAACTTCACTTCAGCTGTCAAAACAAACCCAGGTTTTTTGCCAAATTTTAAGGGAAACAAAAAATATGTGTAGAGTGAATTGCATACGCACCTAATGGAATTATGGTGAGACACATTGGAACCGTGAGCAAAGCTTTCCTTCCATATTTGTCGGAGAGATTCCCCACCAAAGGCATCATCACAAGAGTTCCCAGCCCTATAATCTGCGTTTATAATGCTTTCTTTAAGTCATGATATGAATAAGAAAATGTTATTGGGTGCTCTGGGCAATTTTTTAATATGTCATATCGGTCACACTGAAAGTCAAGAGCAAAAAAGGATGGATGCCTTCTATTTTGAAACAGATGGGAAGTTTCATTCACGAGATAGAGAGAGATTTAATCATTCAGTAACAGTCAATACAAAGACTACAGTTAAATTTGACTTTAAGTTACATTTACCATCTTGATGTTGAAGTTAATAGTATAGCAAAGCACAAGTAAATATGAATAAGATAATAGAAGTTGCTGTTGCAATTAAAGGTATAGAGCCATTTATATATAATATATTAATATCTATGTCAATATCGAAGCCCAAAAAAAGGAAAAGGGTGACACCCAATAATCCATTTCCACATGAGAACAAAACCAACACTAGGCCAAGAACAGTAACTGAGAAAACGACAACCAACTCAAATGGGAGCTGGCCCATCGTGGAAAATTGTGGTGGTTTAGTTTTATATACAGATTTCGGTAAAACGTACATGGACGGCTGACAATAATATATAAACTTTTTTACCAGATGAGCTTGGTAGAATGACGATAGAGTTAACTACAGAAAAGAGGAAATAGGACGAATGAACGGTGTTAACAATGAGTGTAAGTTTAGGCAATGACATAAAAGAGAATTATTTTGTTAGCCGTATAATCTTTTTAGTTGGGGTAGAGAATGCAATAGCAAGAGCTAGGTGAAAATTTCAAACATAACTTTGTATTTCACAAAACAAGACGGACATTTTGGTACGGAGCAGTAAATGCATCCCATCATCAGGAAATTTCTGTTAGGTGATGCAATGGACAGATAAATCCAAGAGGATTGGATTTTAACCAACGCTGAAAATTAACTAACCTTGACCTTTGGCCTCTAGCAGTTTGTCCATATACCAAAAAGCACTCCAATGGAAACTCAACGGAAATTTCATATGAAGAGACATATATACACACTATTCTTTTGTGAGTATGTTTGGCACACAAGCTTGATTATGATTTTTATGTTCTCTAACTTAATTATTTACCATGATCATCAATTGAAGATTAAGATGTAATGAAGTATATAATCATCAAAATTTCAGCTGCGCCACAGCAATGAAGTCATAAACTAAATTATATTCATATGCATGCATATATATTATGTTATCTGTTTAATCGTAAGTGCGGTTGACCATGCATGAAGCTTCGTTGCAGGAGAAATGAAAAATGATGAACCGATCAAGCTGAAAACTAGAACATAAAACAATTAAAGCAAAAGGTAATTGGGTGAAAAGAAATTAAATACCGCTTGTTGAAATCCCGTCAGGTAAATGGCCAATGAACATTCATCTCTTCCGGGACAAAGCGCAGACATTGTAACATCGGTAATGGCGGGGATCACCATGAATGTGGAGAAGTGATGGAGAAAAATGGTCATGAAAAGATGGCTCAACCCGAATGTCTTAGCCATGTTTCTCCGACAAGAATTAAACGAAAGATAGCAAAAGAAAAAAAGCCAACCCTCTCTCACCGACTGGAACTCAGTCACTGCCTGATATCACTTAAAGCAACAAAGAACGGTTATTTAAAGAACAAGTGAAATGTATGCTTTGCTATTTGACATCGCTCTTATTGTTCAAGTATCAATTTTTAAATTTTTTAAAAGCAAAAGATACAGTGACGGTATGCTTTCAACTTAGATAGTGACTGCCCAACCATCTTCAGCGTATGAATCCGTCCAAACAATAGAAAGTTTTATAATCTGTCTTTCTGTGCATAAATAGGTCTATCTGTAGTTATCTGGGTCTGTCATATGAGACATATACGGTTCATACTTTTATTTTTGACAGCCGAAAGGTGAAATGACGAAAAAAGAGCAATAAAGAAAAAAGAGACAAAAATGAAGGATGCGTAGCTTGTAAGTTCATGCAAGGATTAAGCTCAAAGTTCAAATTCGGGCCCCTTTAGACGCATGCACTATGTTATTACGCAATGAAACGTACAAGTTTGATTTAGGCAATAATCAAACACCTAACTAGCCGAACAAACCATAGTTAGCAATCTCACTTTCAGTGCGGTTGTCCAAACAGTATTTGCCCAAGGGTGAAGAGCAGTAACATTTTTATTCCGTTTTTGACAAACAATGTCCAGGCATTCCGTGTTTATAACACTTTGCCAAAGAGTCTACGATACAGCATAAGTAGTCAAGTACGCATCATTTTATGTACATATCACTGTTTGGACATGTTGATGTTGTTTGTCTATGGGCGTCTGGTCTTCATTTTGCTCATGGGCTGAGCATGGAGTCCGCTCTTGCCATTCGGATGGCTTGAATCGAACCTAATTTCATTCCGAAACAAATGGGCTTGAATTTACTCATAGGCTGAATCACTGAGTCCACTCTTGCCATTCGGAATGTTTGAAGTCAACATTGTTTCAGTACGAAACAAACAAAATGGGCTTCAATGTACAGAAAATAGAGAGAGTTACGTCTTAGGCCCAGCTTTATGAACANCTGACAATAATATATAAACTTTTTTACCAGATGAGCTTGGTAGAATGACGATGGAGTTAACTACAGAGAAGAGGAAATAGGACGAATGAACGGTGTTAACAATGCGTGTAAGTTTAGGCAGTGACATAAAAGAGAATTATTTTGTAAGCCGTATAATCTTTTTAGTTGGGGTGGAGAATGCAATAGCCAGAGCTAGGTGAAAATTTCAAACATAACTTTGTATTTCACAAAGCAAGACGGACATTTTGGTACGGAGCAGTAAATGCATCCCATCATCGGGAAATTTCTGTTAGGTGATGCAATGGACAGATAAATCCAAGAGGATTGGATTTTAACCAAGGCTGAAAATTAACTAACCTTGACCTTTGGCCTCTAGCAGTTTGTCCATATACCAAAAAGCACTCCAATGGAAACTCAACGGAAATTTCATATGAAAAGACATATATACACCCTGTTCTTTTGTGAGTATGTTTGGCAAACAAGCTTGATTATGATTTTTATGTTCTCTAACTTAATTATTTACCATGATCATCAATTGAAGATTAAGATGTAATGAAGTATATAATCATCAAAATTTCAGCTGCGCCACAGCAATGAAGTCATAAACTAAATTATATTCATATGCATACATATATATTATGTTATCTGTTTAATCGTAAGTGCGGTTGACCATGCATGAAGCTTCGTTGCAGGAGAAATGAAAAATGATGAACCGATCAAGCTGAAAACTAGAACATAAAACAATTAAAGCAAAAGGTAATTGGGTGAAAAGAAATTAAATACCGCTTGTTGAAATCCCGTCAGGTAAATGGCCAATGAACATTCATCTCTTCCGGGACAAAGCGCAGACATTGTAACATCGGTAATGGCGGGGATCACCATGAATGTGGAGAAGTGATGGAGAAAAATGGTCATGAAAAGATGGCTCAACCCGAATGTCTTAGCCATGTTTCTCCGACAAGAATTAAACGAAAGATAGCAAAAGAAAAAAAGCCAACCCTCTCTCACCGACTGGAACTCAGTCACTGCCTGATATCACTTAAAGCAACAAAGAACGGTTATTTAAAGAACAAGTGAAATGTATGCTTTGCTATTTGACATCGCTCTTATTGTTCAAGTATCAATTTTTAAATTTTTTAAAAGCAAAAGATACAGTGACGGTATGCTTTCAACTTAGATAGTGACTGCCCAACCATCTTCAGCGTATGAATCCGTCCAAACAATAGAAAGTTTTATAATCTGTCTTTCTGTGCATAAATAGGTCTATCTGTAGTTATCTGGGTCTGTCATATGAGACATATACGGTTCATACTTTTATTTTTGACAGCCGAAAGGTGAAATGACGAAAAAAGAGCAATAAAGAAAAAAGAGACAAAAATGAAGGATGCGTAGCTTGTAAGTTCATGCAAGGATTAAGCTCAAAGTTCAAATTCGGGCCCCTTTAGACGCATGCACTATGTTATTACGCAATGAAACGTACAAGTTTGATTTAGGCAATAATCAAACACCTAACTAGCCGAACAAACCATAGTTAGCAATCTCACTTTCAGTGCGATTGTCCAAACAGTATTTGCCCAAGGGTGAAGAGCAGTGACATTTTTATTCCGTTTTTGACAAACAATGTCCAGGCATTCCGTGTTTATAACACTTTGCCGAAGAGTCTACGATACAGCATAAGTAGTTAAGTACGCATCATTTTATGTACGTATCACTGTTTGGACATGTTGATGTTGTTTGTCTATGGGCGTCTGCTCTTCATTTTGCTCATGGGCTGAACATGGAGTCCGCTCCTGCCGTTCGGATGGCTTGAATCGAACCTAATTTCATTCCGAAACAAATGGGCTTGAATTTACTCATAGGCTGAATCACTGAGTCCACTCTTGCCATTCGGAATGTTTGAAGTCAACGCTGTTTCAGTACGAAACAAACAAAATGGGCTTCAATGTACAGAAAATAGAGAGAGTTACGTCTTAGGCCCAGCTTTATGAACAGCTAAACTCATGGTTATGAATATAACAGAGTCAGCCCTATAGAATAATATTGGGCCATATATGACCCCAAAGAAGAATCCCACAGTATCACAAGATTTGTTGAAATTCTTTTAAAATGGAAAAATAAATAAAAGAGCAAGACTATACTTACTAATTCTGCAAACCGTCTCTCCATCGTGGAGTGCAACGCGGTTGGTTTCCAGAATCGATAAGTGTAGTATTTTCCTAAATAAAATCTAAGTTGTCTAACTCGAGTGCTTCTTTTTTTTAGCTAATACATAATGGCACACGATGGTTGGCCACTGGGTGGCGCTTACTTTTACAAATCATTTCATTTTGTGCTTGTTTGTGATGGTTGTTTTGGATTCTAAAACATTTGAATTAGCAAAGGAATTTCACCAATTTTAGCATATAACCAACTAACATACCTAATCAATGGAGCTCTGCAAAATTATCAGGTGGCCCAACCCGATTTGAACCAATGAGTTTGGTTCTTGTTCTTATACTTGAATGCAGCAGGGGTCCGAGATCTTTTTTGGTACAGTGACAGCTATTAAAGGCATGCGTTATTTGGAGTCTTTAGTGGGTTACAACAGACGATGGGATTATCAAAACCTCATAGCTTTCTGGTCATGTCAGCCTCATTCATATTTGGTTTTGGAGTTTAGCTCGTGTTAGCCATGAGTAAAAAGGGGGCCAAGTCATGTGCCTTCCCTTCTCAATTATCGTGGTACTATATTTGTCATCATCATGACTCTCCTCTTTCAATCTTTTTTGTAACTTCAAAAATGTTACCTTTACCATAACTATAAGAACAAGATGATGCCTTTCTCTACAAATTGAGGCCTTTAAGCGATTAATCACAATTTTCAAATCGTGGGCTCAACCAGAATCACAGTCGCCATTTTTTTTTCAAGAATTTTTCATAAATATCCCAATTTGTCAAAGACTATGGGGCCTTAGTGGATTTTTTTTATTTATTAAATTTTCCATGGGGCTATGAGGGATTTCATTTGTTAAAAAGAAAAAGGAGATGAAGATGGGATATCCCTTGCTACTTTTCATGTAACAAAGGAAAAGAAAGGTGAAAGATGTTAAAATTTCACACATCCAAAGGCAAAAAAGTGTCTTTTGGACTGCTTTTTGATTTTCCAGGAAAATGAAGTACAAATCAGCAAAGTGAAAGCTGCTTTTACTACGAAGGTTCCACGTGAGTGCTAACACTACACAACAGATACCCATCTGAAAGTGCTCCTAAAAACAGTTTCCTAGTCCTAGCTACCTACTAATGGTTAATTTCTTTTGACAATTTCAACAAAGTAATATATATTCATTATTTCAATGTCCAGTGGGAAAGCAGCAACTTGTCTCAGCACCCCACTCACCCACAGCCATAAGTATCAGCTTTTTTCAGTTGTGAGCAGATACTGGAAGAGAGCTGGGGACCTTCTACTGAGAAATCAGAATTAACTTTTTTTTTTTTTTCTTTCTTCTTTTTGTGAACGAAAAATATTCAAAATAAGAATATATAAAGAGATACGATGTGACCAATTATATCTACGTTACCCACAACACCATAAATAAAAAATAATTATAATTTTTAACTACGCTTAACTTAATACATGATGTTTCATAAAACTTACATGCCCTATAAATATAGATAAGATATGAGATATTATATTTATAATAGGATTTATATTTCAATTTTTAATTGTATTTCTATAATTCTATTCATGTTTATAATTGTATAATTTATTAAATAGTTTTCCTAAAAGACATCAAATTGTATCTAGAAACAAATAGAGCACAATTGTATTATTTATTATATAGTTTTTCAATAGACATACAAAGAGAGAGCAAGCCAAAACATCCCACACTTTTCTAACTTAAAAATGGGCAGAAAATTATGTCAAACTTTGGAAATTCAAGCAAGCACATTTCTCCCGTTATAATTTAGCCAGAGAGATATTTAATTTCTTTGTTTTTTACTTCAATTTTTACAACATGCCCTCAGTAATATTAATTTTTTTTTAATTGAAAACAATTCATAGTAGCCAAGAAATTAAAATCCTATCTTCTTGCAATAATAATATATGTATGTTGAAGAAAAAAACAAAATTTTGCGTGATTGGACATATCGAAAGTAAAATCAACACGGGCGGCCTCAATATCAGATTACATAACTATCTAGGACAAAATTAATTATCAAGATAAAGTTGAAATTATCTTTCTTAATGGTTTAATACTCAAATTGGAATTTTTTAATAACATAGTTAAATAATCAATGTCTTATGTCCAAACAGATTGCCTAGACTATACAAGTTGGGAGTTGGGATAGCGATAGCCACGGCCGGCTAACTTTGAATGGATTAGTAGTACAAAATTGCTTCTCAAGGGACGGAGTGAGTGTAGTTTTGAGTGTTGAGTGGTTGGCTATTCTGGCTCTGATGATGCCATTTCGCCAGCCCATTATGCGAATTAACTATGCCAAACATGTCATGACAGCACGTGAGAAAAATATTAAAACAATCTTAAAAGATTCTTGTAGGTAATGAATGCAGGTGAACATACATCTGTTATTCAGTTCATTTCCTAACAAAAATATCCTCCTTTATTTATTTATTAAAACTGTATTCCGTTTTGCACGGATCACGGATTGAGATTTGAGCGGAGAAGCCTGATTTTTTTTGACATTGCCAACTGTATGATATCCAGGGAGATGATCACATGTAATGAAGCCTACAACAGAGTTCGGTATGGTCTTAAAATTTTGTGTTAAAGACTTAAGAACCGTCAGATGTCAAAAGTGAGATATGCATTAGACGTTATAGATTTTGACAAATCAAACAACTGACACGTCCTCATTCTGAGCTACACAATCCACACTTCCACAGCCATAGGCCCACGACACAGCACAAAGCTTCTGATCCATATTTACATACAATCTGTCAAGGGTCCCCGACAGAACATAAATAAAAATTAATAAAATAAAATAAAATAAAATAAAAACACATGACATAACATACAACATGTCTACGTAGCAATTACATTTATTTAAACCAATAAATCCCTTTGAACGGACCCATACGAGGTCCATTAATGACTATATATTAATTTGTATTAAATGAAAAAATCTGTTCAACAAATCTCTTTATTGCTCTATTTTGATTGTGATAATTAAAATTCATATCTTAATAATGAAAATGGAACCAAAAATATAGTAAAGGAGGGTTTGATTGTAAATGTACATGCCTTTTGATTTTTGAGCTTCAAAATAAGCCCACGTCAATTTCCTTGTTTGGGTTCCACGTGCTCATGGGTAAAGCAACCTATCACGCGCATAGCGCGTGATTTTTTCAGTCTACTTAAATCCCTACACATATTACTCTCCTTGACAAACGGGATAACATAGGAGACGCGAGACTTGCGTTTCCTCTATTTATTTCTCTCTCTCATTCTCTCTCGTTTCACTTCTCACTTAATGGACTCTCTTGCTCTCTTCTGTACCGGGGCTCTCCTAGCTGGTGGTCTCTTCTGGTTCGTTTGTATATTAGGCCCTGCTGAACAAAAGGGCAAACGAGCTGTCGATCTATCGGGAGGCTCGATCTCAGCCGAGAAAGTCCAAGACAATTACAAGCAATACTGGTCTTTCTTCCGCCGCCCCAAAGAGATCGAGACCGCCGAGAAAGTTCCGGATTTTGTGGATACTTTTTATAACTTAGTCACCGACATTTACGAATGGGGATGGGGTCAGTCCTTTCACTTCTCTCCCTCCATCCCTGGCAAGTCGCACCGTGATGCCACGCGCATCCACGAAGAGATGGCCGTTGATCTCATCGATGTCAAGCCAGGACAGCGTATCCTGGACGTTGGATGCGGCGTTGGTGGGCCCATGCGTGCCATCGCCGCCCACTCGCGGGCTAAAGTGGTGGGCATCACAATCAATGACTACCAGGTGAATCGCGCTCGTTTACATAACAAGAAAGCGGGTTTAGATTCGCTTTGTGAGGTTGTTTGTGGAAACTTTCTTGAGATGCCTTTCCCTGACAACAGCTTTGACGGCGCGTACTCCATCGAAGCAACATGTCACGCGCCGAAGCTTGAAGATGTATATGCGGAGGTGTTTAGGGTTTTGAAACCTGGATCTCTCTACGTGTCGTACGAGTGGGTTACAACTGACAAGTACAGAGGAGACAACGCTGAACACGTGGAGATCATTCAAGGGATTGAAAGAGGAGATGCTTTGCCTGGGCTTAGAAGCTACGGTGATATTGCCGAGACAGCAAAAAAGGTTGGGTTTGAAGTGGTGAAGGAGAAGGATCTGGCTAAACCACCAGCTCAGCCATGGTGGACCAGACTGAAGATGGGTAGGATCGCTTACTGGAGGAATCACATTGTGGTTACAATACTTGCTGCATTGGGGATTGCACCAAAAGGAACAGTTGATGTTCATGAGATGCTTTTTAAGACGGCTGACTATTTGACCAGAGGTGGTGATACTGGAATTTTCACTCCGATGCACATGATTCTCCTCAGAAAACCTGAGGCTCCAAAATCTTCATCTTAGCTGAACCAACCCACCCAAGCCTAGGCCAATGTTTTGAGGTGTGTTTTGGAGTATCTCTATTCCACCTCTAGTTAATTTAGTTGTTTTTTCTAGGTTTTTGATTTTCCTGTTAATTTACTTATTATCATCACCATGTATCCTTTTCTTTTTAAATTTTATTTAAATTGGGTTGTTGGATTTTGATTTTAAAATTGTTTGACATAGCTAGGGAGAGGTCTCTCTATTAATTCAAATAATTGTCTCTTAGAATGGTTGGAATCTGTTGGATTATGGATGTATGTAAAATGTGAGTGTGGAGTTGCAGGATCTGTGAGTAAAAGCTGTTTGCTTCTGGGATTTTCCGCCAGACAGACCAAAAAAAAAAAGTGAAATAAACGGTGTAGATCTATGATCTGTTAGGGTGGGGATTCTTGGAAGTATGTGCAAGTGAGAAGTAGAGAGACTGAGAGAGTAGATGACACGCACATGGATAGTTTAGGCACTTATGTGAAGTGCTTAGGTGGCGACCACTGGGTTACTGACTTTTACTGTATTGTCATATTTATGAAGTCAATACCCCGCCAAATCGTTTAACCTTTTGTGATGTTTGGCATATTATGCTGTAGTTTTCAGGCGTTGAAGGGGCTACATATAGGAGGCCGACATGTGGGCCATTCCTTACTTTGGATCTTTCAACATTGTTACCTTCTTATGTCCCTCTGTCTTAAGACTTTTAACCTAACAATTTCATCTTCTGTATGGCTCTATGCGATACGTGTAACATATTTAATTATTGAATGGATCTTTCGTATAAGCCATTGACGAGCATGGCCTTCAATTTGTATGTCATAGACACTGAATTTTAAGGCAGGTAGAGGGAGGGGCTTGCCTGAAACTGAGTATCCACTATCACGGGGCAAACAGGAGAGATTTGTAGAAGAGAATAAATGAAGGGTTTGGCAGTAAATTGAGTTGGTAAACACTGCAGAGCATTCAATTTATGTGGTAGTTGCCCCGTTTAGTTTGTGTGGTAGTAGTCAATTGTTACAATTTGAATAATGAATAAATTATTTGAAACAATAGAAGGAAGATCCGAATCCAAAATCTTAAACTGATGCTTGAAACTGACAAAAGGTAATTTGTCTCAACTCCAAATCAGGTTATGCCTTGGAAGGGTTAAGATTATGAAGGATTTATTGGTTTCAGGTGGCCTGCTCTGCCAATGACTCTAATGAAATTCAGAAATATAGCATTTTGGCTGTTGTGTGAATTGGGAAACCTCAAGATTTACCATCAATCCCGGAGACAGTTCAAGTAACTAATCTCTCTATAGGTGATTCCTTGTAATAATTTTCCTTAATGGTTACTTGCTGTATTTTCAGATATATTTTTATGGCTTCTCCTGACCTCCAAAAGGCCACTCCTCCAACCATTCTCGCCCAACTACATATTTAGTGATTCTTATAATTTATGTGTTGGAAATTACTCTAGGTGTTAAGAGAACACTTGTCATAAGAAAAATTCATGACATTTAAGGCCTAATCAATCTGTAACATTTGTATTTAGAATTGCTCTTGTTCTTACAGAGTGATCATCCTTAATGTGCAATCCCAAGATAACTGGTTTACTATATAAAACTTAGAAAGGCATACCAAATTATCATCGGACTTATGAGTTTTCAGACTTTAAATTCTTTAATAAAACACAGGATGGTTAAATCAAGTGCCATACGTGCCACACTAGGATCTCGGGCCATTTGCTGCTTTGTGGAAAAACTCAAGAGTACATCAAGATTTGGGCCTTATTATCGTAAAAACAAATTTGGACTCCAGGCCCTGCATGACCCGTACATGTTTCTGTGTAAATAAAAATGGAAAAGAGAAGAAAAGAAAAAGATATAGCTGGCCACATAACCAAGATCTTTTCCTGGCGAAGATATTCAAATATGGATAATTATAATCCACAAACCAAACGAGTGGACTCCATTACTGATTAGTGAGATTTTCTTGATAAAATCCTTAGCTTCTCTATCATATCTCTCTGCTTTTCTCTGAAGCCCCATACTTTCCCATAAGTCAATTCTCCTTCATTACTGTTACTCAGCACCTCTTCCCTCTCCCCTGCTATGGCTGCCGTTACTAATTTCATTTCCAAACTACCTTCGTCTCTGTCGACCACCCGTAAAATAACTCCTATTTCCTTCAGCAATTCCTTTTTGTTACCCTTTGTCACCAAACCGAAATCTCTAGCAACGAAACTAGATCTAAACCGAACAAACTTCATAGTAAAGGCTACAGCTGTTCCTGGGACTAAAAAGTCTGCAAGTGATGAGAGAGTACAGAAAGTCCATAGCATAGAAGAATTTGATGAAGCCTTAAAAAAAGCCAAAAACAAGCTTGTTGTGGTAGAATATGCTGCTACTCGGAGTGACGAAAGCAGTAAAATCTACCCTTTTATGGTTAATCTTAGCAAGCAATGCAGCGACGTGGAGTTTCTTCTTGTCATGGGCGATGAATCAGAGAAAACCAGAGAACTTTGCAAAAGAGAGAAGATAGACAACGTTCCACACTTCAGCTTTTATAAAAGCATGGAGAAAATTCATGAAGAAGAAGCGATTGGCCCGGATCAGCTTGTTGGAGATGTGCTGTACTATGGTGATAATCATTCAGCTGTGGTACAGTTGCATTGCAGAGAAGATGTTGAGAAGTTAATCGAAGAACATAAGGTTGATAATAAGCTGCTTGTTCTTGATGTGGGGTTGAAGCATTGTGGACCATGCGTCAAGGTATATCCAACGGTTCTAAAGTTGTCCAGGCAGATGGATTCAGTGGTTTTCGCAAGAATGAACGGTGATGAGAATGATAGCTGCATGCAGTTCTTGAAGGACATGAACGTGATTGAGGTGCCGACATTTTTATTCATCAGAGATGGCAAAATATGTGGAAGGTATGTGGGTTCTGGTAAAGGGGAGCTTATTGGGGAGATCCTTAGATACCAAGGAGTTCGAGTGACTTATTAAAAACAAGGTGACTGTTTCAGCAAAAAAAATTTAGTGAAACGGGTCATATACAGAAATTAATTTGAAGCCTTACGAAATTACATAATAGTAAGTTATGGGGTGGTAAAGGAAAATTTTAATTGTACTCATAGATGAATTGCGGTGGCTGTTGGTATTGTAGAACCAGTTTATCGTATGCTTTGTGATGGATGATTAATATAAAACTTTTACCTGTCTGTTTTATTATGTAGAATCGTTCTACAATTGAGGTGCTACTCTACAAGCAATCTGTGCCTCCCTTAAATACATACGAATGCTTTGAAAGGGTCCAATCGGGTTTTGTTCATTAAAAAAATTGTGAGAAAAAATTATTATTTGGAATGTGAAGACTGAATATGACATCAATATTTGATGTAGGTTTGATTGATTCTTGAACCCTTTTTGTCAAATAAACTTGTGTTGCTCTGCAATGAATTATCCCTTTCCAGTCATAAATTGTAGGCATTGTATTTATGTAAGTCTTTGTCACTGGGTGTGTGGTTTGAACATGTAAAAAGGTTTTAAATCTAACAAAAACATTCCTAGAAATTACATATAAGTCTTTATAGGTCTGAAGTCTTGAAAAAAAATCTCAAATGCAAATCGGTGGTTGACAACCCAGGCCAAATATGGCATGTTTCCGGCATTGACAACACTCTCCATCACCATTCACCATGAAAACGCCCCTCTCAACCTCTTGACCAAAACTCATCTCATCTCACACTTGTTCGCCTCACCAATCATCAACGGCAACCATTGTTGCTATCGCCCGATTTTGGCAATATCTGATCGTTTTACTTATCGGAAATCGCTTCTATTGCCACCTTTAGGCCCATCGGCCCTTCCTCTTCAAAACCTCCAAGATCCCAACCACCAATTGCTCACCGATCGTCGTCCTCAATTGTCGGCAAGCTGCCATGCATTTTTGTGATTTCCGATTGTTTCACCCACTGGAAGTCGCCTCTATCGCCCCCTTTAGAACTCACCAACCCCTATTCTTCAAAACCTCAACATCCTAACCACCAATTGCTCATCGATCATCATCCTCCTCTCTAGGGTTTTCCATGAATAGTGGAAAATTAGAAACCCAGGTCCCAGTTAAACCAATTCCACCGGCCAAGTTGGGGCCTAGTTTTAAAACCTTTGATTTTTTGTCGTTGCAATTGTAAACGGTAACTAGTAATCTCGTAAATATAAGATGATTTACAAACATTCCTGATTCAACTCAAATTAAGTACTGAAATCATGTTCATTGTCAACAAAATTTCATACCTACAAAGGGCTAGCTTTTTTCTTTACCAAAAGTCAAGCAAACGATTAATTAATTACCAGGGTTGGATTACAGCATTTGATTAGGCATATGTGATAGAGAAATTGGATGACCATTGAGATAAAGTTGGAGAGTACCATTCACCTTAAAGCATTAATTTCATCCGATAATGTTTATCAAATCAGGTCAGGATAAAGTTATTTTACTGACTAAAGGGGATTCAACGTGCAACTTTTAATTAAATAATAAGCGCGGCCGCGCCTTATTTTCTATCCCCCCTCCAAAAAACTTTGAATTGGTATTGACTCATTGGGATAAATAAATTCATAATTGTACGAGCGCCAGCCGGCTAAAATATGACAGCTTGGATTGATCTTGCAAACAATACCATTTAGGAAAGCAAAGGACTTTGTCTGACAGAGATGCCATTTTAGTTTTTGTTTAAGAGTCATATTCAAATTACTCTGCATACCTAACAAGGAAATTGACAAATTCTCTTTGATTTTGATGGCTTATTAGATCAAGCACTTCATTTGGAAGCAAACCCTAATGGATGATTGAAAACAAAAACGTTGAATATATAACAATTATGTGTTTAAACATTTATGTATGAATATGAACAAGATTTGATACATCATCAAGCAAATTTCAGAATTGATCTACGTATCTCATCACAGATATGTACATAATCAAATCTAAGATAAACAAAACAGAAGAACCCTGTAAAAACCTAATGAAGAATTAATGTACTTCATGAATTTGCTCTGACCATCGTATTCAATTGAAGAGGCCTTGGTGGATTCATTGTTCTTCTCTTCCATAAATTAACTTCTTTCTTGGGCTGCAAAGCCACTCCTCCACCTACAGTTATAGGTGCCGAAAATGGAATGATGTAATCTTCTTCTTCTTCTTGATCACTGTCTCCTCTCTCTTCATCTGAATAATAATTCCGGTGATCGGAATCCAGCGGTGCTATCTGATGAGCCGTCCAATCAAAATCGGAAAAAGCATCACGACCACTCGCAAACCTTTTCATCTGATTCAAAGCGGGTGCTCTATCTGGTAGTTTCTGAACATGGTCATCAGAAACATCAGATTTTCTTGCTGGTTTTACACCACTAAAGAGTCTCATAAACTTTGATGCCTGTTTCTTTACTTCTCGCGGAGAAGATACTACCGGCTTAGTATCTTTAGGAAGCGAGGCCGTTTTCATATGTTTCATCTTCATCTTGTGATTGGCCTTGTGTTTTTTGATTTGGCCCATGCACGAAACTTTCGGCGAAGTGGGTTCCTGGTTTTCTTCAAAGCTTTCATTCTTGGACTTTCTTCGAGCTTCATCAGGAATTATTGATATGATCGGACCGGAGAATCCTTTACCGGCATGAGCTTTGAGCTTGTTTATGTGAATATCTGATCTCTTTTCTCTACCTGGGCTGAAAGGAAGGTTTTGAAAGGTGACTGCAGAAGCTTTTGGTAGAAATTTTAAGATATTGGTTTTGGGTTTAGCATGTTTCTCCATTCTCAAAAATCTCTGAATCTCTTTGCTTTGCTCAACTTATATATACACTTATCCAAGAAAGATGATAAAATGATATGAAAATTGCAAGGCGTTGGATTTTTGAAAATGTCAAGATCAAGAAGGCAGATGATATGGTCAAAGAAGAAGATTGGTGTGCAGTCGACTGAGCAAGCCCACCTTCTTTACCCACCACCTTTCCTCATTTATTAATACAGCTTGCATTTCTGTCTTCTTGTTACATAATTTAATCTTGCCATCAAAATACACGACTCCGCGGGCTCAATTTTTGAATTATCTAATTATATCCACAACTTATACCTATACTTCGTCAATTTAAGACTTTCATCATTCTTTACACATGGCTTAAGACATTACATTAAACAAAGTTTTGTTTGACCAATCACAAACCCTAATTTTAATCACCGATTTTTTCTATAGTACTTGAAATTGTCACCATTTAATATTTGAGAGTTTCCGCTGATGTTAACCTTTTTGCTATAAAATATGCGATAGACTTGTAATCATGTTGTGCCTTGAATAGTATTAATCTTCGTCTGGTCTGACGGCACTAAATTTGGAGAGCTAATTAATTGAGATGAAATTGTCCACCATATTATTAATTTGGTAATTGATGTTTGCTTCGTTATGGAACACATGAAAGTAAAGCTTTATTTGTTTGGTTTAATTCTCAATCAAGAAAGACATGTATCATGTGGCTTTTAAGACTAATCGAGCCAGCCAACACATTTTCCATTAGTTTGTCGCCAAAACAAATTATTGTGTTGTGTGCGTGATGTGTGAATATAGGAGATGTGTTATTAGGGGTGGGATGCGGTGGTGGTGAGATTGTAGGGTAGGAGGAGATGGGGGGTTATTGGGCTGTTGAAGGTGTGTGGGTAAAAACCACTTAGGTTGTGGTCGGATGACAAAATTTTGGGTTACCCAGAAGTCTTGTGTTCAAGTCTCACAAAGTAATCACCTACCATATTTGTGACTTGGCCTTTTGAGTTTGTAGGTTGTTCAATAGACCATTTGATTCATTGGGCTTGTAAGATATTCAATAAACCTCAAAAATTACTTAAGATGCACGCGAGCTGGTCTGAATATCCCAATTACCAAAAAATAAGAAGGTGTGTGGGTAAAGTGTTGTTGTTACCTTCATTACGTCAGTTTTAACGAAAGAATACTAATGATGGGGTCTAAGAGTAATTATTGATACCTTAGGGGTGTTTGAAGAAAACTTCGGGGGGTTTAAGTAATATTCCTGTCCAACTCAACTGCAGCTCTGAAGGTGAAACGACAGAGTTTTCTTCTTACGCCATTTTACACTTCCAAGCCTCGATTGATCTCCGTTCAGCCCAAGGTATGTTCACACAACATAATCTTTGTGTATAATGTTTATCTATTCATTTCCAAATGAAATCGTAGTTGTACGAGCTGGTTTGCATATAGTTTTCTTCATGAACATTTGATTTTAGGGTTCAATTGGTTTGCATTTAGGGCACACACTGAGTTTTTGATCATTTTATATCTGCGGAGGAGAATCAGTTATGGTTCTCTCCTTTGATTTGAAGGATTTTATTATCCGTGCTCGAGTGCTGAAGTTGTACAGACAAGCTCTAAGGACGGCTCGAAGAGCCCCGGAACAAGCTGGAGGTGAATTTTACTTTACTTTAAAGAATCATTCATTTGAATAAGAATTTTCTTAATGATAGATTTGACCAGGCAACTAATTCTGTTTATAAGACTTTTGGAAGATGACCAAAGCTTTAATTAAGTAATGAATTTTTTGGTCAAGGTAAATTATAAAACAATTTTGTAACGAAATAGCTGGAGTGGAGTTTCAGTCTTCTTGTTTTTATAAAATTGATGCAGATTATTCTAGTTCTTCCACATACATATATTAAAATTCCAATGGAACAACTTGGTGTAAGTGAATATGAAACATGCAACCTGTTGTACATGTTTGGTAAAAATCCTAATGGATTTAGGTAAACTGCATTTGAATTTACAGCTGAATTGAGGCAGACGATGAGAGAAGAGATGGAGAAACATCGTGACTGCAACGACAAACAGAAGATTCGTTACTTGATTAGTGAAGGTTTAGAGAGATTAAAACGTCTGAATGAGATGCTTGACATGCAGGGTCACTCTTAGAAACTGCATTTGGAACGTCCAAGGACATGAAACTAATGGAATATTGAGACAAATGACAATGCAAGCTACAAAGATGGAAGTTCTGTTTTTTGCACTTTTTGTAGTTTTAGTCTCTGTATCTTTCATTGGAGCCGGTTTTTGCCATTCTAAACTGTGGAAATATTTAGCAATTTTCACTTTTTGTTACGGATTAAGAATTTGTTTATTGTTATGATTTATATTATATCCACTCTGCTAAACTGCCCTCATACCTTGTTCTGTTATGATGGCTGTAGTAACTGCAGGCATTTGATCCCAAATATCGTTGTTACTTTTCATTTTAGTCATGCGAGAATGGGATTAAATTACATGTGAGACCAATGAGAACAAAATTGGAATAAGCCCGCTTTCAAAATTGGGGAAAGGACAAGCTCCAGCATAAACAATGAACCTTCCCTTAAATCTGCAGTAGGGGTGTAAGTTGAGAATTGTAAGTACATAATAATTGTCAAATATATGATTTCACGCATGGCACAAACTATCATTACCATAATAGGGATGATATGACAAAGATACACTAATCAGAACTTAAGTCGTGTAGTAACCTGCCTTGACTGACGTTAAAAGCATCAGCAAAATTCATAAAAGTAATATAAAACCAAAAGGAAAAAAGTCACCTAAATGTACCCAAAACCCACTTTTAACAAATATTTAAAAGGGATAGGGAGAGTTTAGAATAACCGGGCTGGCATATTTCCAAAATTAATTGCAAGGAGTAAAAGTACATCATATGGCACAAAACTTTCACTATATTAAGATTGCGTAACCAATTATATCATAATTCAATGAAGAAAATAAATAAAAAGAAAAAAACACTGAAGGTTACATAGTCCAGTTCAAGAATTCAGAAGTAGCTACTGTTACAAGGGCCGAGTAACAAAACCCCTGTCAACCATTTTCTCCACCAACTCCTCATGCTTCTTAATCTGTCCAGCCTCTCTCAGTTGTTTCAGGACCATTTCATAAACCGGCAGACTTGGTTTTATGCATTTCTCCTCCATCATCTCCTTAAACGCCTTGTAGGCATTGTTCCAGTGTCCCATATCACAATACATTGAAATTAAAACCCGGTAGGTATTCACATTAGGCTCAATGTCATTCTCATCCATCTCCTTCTTCAGTTTGACAACCATGTCAATTGATTTTGAGTTAGCAAACATTTGCATCAAAGTATTGTAAGTCACAGTGTTGAGCTCACATTTCAACTCCTTCATCTTTGCATACATCCGGTGAGCCCCATTCACATCACGTACCTTCGCAATGCATCTGAATATTGTATTGAAAGTAGATGCATTTGGGCTACACCCTTTCTTAATCATCGTATTAAGCACTTTAATAGCATCGTCAATATTATCATCCTTACAATGACTTTCTATCAGAAAATTATACGTAATGGTATCAGCAGCACAACCAAGTCTTTTCATCTGATTATAAACTTGCAAAACCTTCTCAGTCCTACCAGCCTTGACATGAACCCGCATTAGATTATTAAAAGTAATCGAATTAGGCTCACAACCCACATCAAGCATCTCTGCAAAAACATCATGAGCACGCGTAATTTGCCCGCACCTACACAAGGCATCAATCACAATACTGTAGGTATACACATTAGGACTAATCCCAGCCATTTTCATTTCTCCAAATACCCGCTCGGCCTCTGAAATATTACCAGCTCGACACCACCCACGAACTAAGTTAGTGTAAATTATAACATCAGGCTCAAACTTATCTTTTAAGCTATCAAAAAACGACTGCGCTTCACTAGCTCTTCTTTTTCTACACAAAATACTAATCACAATCGAAAATGCAATCTTATCAGGCACGCAACCGTACTCCTCCATACGGTTGAACGCGTGCACCGCCTCAGCAGCCAATCCGGCCCTCACATATCGGCGAACAAGAATCGAGAAGGTCTCGACTGTAATGTTAACATTCCTTGATTTCATCAAATTAATAAAATGCCAAGCCAAATCGAATTGCCTTACCTTTCCAGAGAGACTAATCATTTCGTGATACGGCTCCGTGGTGTGGATATATTCGGGCCGGCCAGTGGCCCAGTTGAAGAAAGATAAATTTTGGAGGAAGGGGATGCCGTAGCGATGCCCACATGATCTCTCGATGACGTGGCGGACGATGGCAGGGGATACGGAGTGAACGGTGGAGATTTGAGAGAAGTCGAGGGAGAGAGATGGGATAGTGAAGCTGGGGCTTGGTGGCGCTGGGTTGGGATCAATGTTAGGGTTTTTACGGTGGTGTTCTTTGATTAAGGAGTAGAATTTGTCGGCGATTAGGGTTTCTTCGGGTGATAAGGAAGCGTTTGGTTCGTTTTGGGTATCGTTGTTTATATCATCAGAGTCATCTTTAAGGGAGACTGAAGAAGAGGAGAAAGAGGAAGCTTTGAAGATGTGCTGAGAGATAGAGTGTGGGAAACGAAGCTTGGATTTGATTAAAGCCATCAATGGCGTATTCTAGCTTACTCTGTTTCAGTGGGGAAGGGTTTTAGACTTTTAGTTTTCTCTGCTTCGGTAAAGCAATATTTCAGAGGGGCACAATGGGGATGAAGCAAGATTTTAAAAGGGGCATTATGGGGATGAAGCAAGATTTTAAAAGGGGCATTATGGGGATGAAGCAAATTTAATATTGTAGGAGATAAACGACTCTGTTAAGACTGTGATGGACAAGAAGTTAGGTTATAAGAACTCGTTAATTTTTATACGTGATCTGTCAATGACGTGGCGGATGATAGCGGCGAATATGAAATACAGAAATAGGACGGGGGAGATTCAAGAGAGGGGATTGTGAAGCTGTTGTGTTTGGATAAATGTCAGGGTGGATATGATTAAAGCCATGACCAACTGCGTCCTCCAATTCTGCTTCAGTGGTTTAGGGTTTTAGAGATCTCTGTTTCTGCAAAGCAAAGATGTAAGTAAGAAGGGCATAATGGTGACGAAGGAAAGTTTAACCAAGGGCGTAATAGTGATAAAGGAAGATTTATGAAGGGCATAATTGGATTTGTAGGATGAAAAATGGCGGAGTTAAAACAACGCCGTTAGGACTGTAAAAGACAATACTTTACTCCGTTTGTTTTAAATCATGTCTCCTACAAAAATTGAATTATATATTTAAGTTTCCTTTTATAAGAACTCGGATTCAATATTACATTTTACCCTTCTTTATATGGTTAAGGAGTCTTAATTATTATAAGATAATTATTTCTATATATATTATTTGCTTATCTCAGACTTCCTCCTATATTTGCATCACACAAAAGTATAACGTTAATCATTCAGACTACGTCTTCTTAGAGGAGTTCACGCTCTTCAGTCTAAAGGGAACTCCAACTCCACCATATCCTACTAACTTAAAGACGCGACATGTCAAGAGTAAGAAACCCTTGTTTGAAGATAGAGATAGGATTTCTTGGGAAGAAGCTGCTCTAGTACTTGGAGAAGAAGATGAACATCATAACCTCCGAAGGCGTCAGAAGGTACGTAGTCTCATGGGCTGCTTTTTTTTATGGTTAATTGCATTTAGCCATTCAGAAGTATTTTGCAAGTTGAGTTTTCTTAAGTTTGATAGATTTTGCTATGCATGTATTGTACAGGTGAAAACCAAAGGCTTGCAGAATATATGACGCCGGATTCATTCCTACATTTTATGTATTTGTTTTGATGTTATAACATACATTACATAACATAATATTGATCTTAAAAAGACGTAAGTAACATTAGGAGCCTACATCAATAGATAGTTCAGTTCAATAAAATACAATACAATAGAAGAAATCTCGACGGGACTAGTATTATCGAGTCAAAGGAACTGATGATGTAAAAGGGTTTAGCTCTCATTGTTTATAATTTTTTAAATGAATGAAATTATCAATCAAATATATATTCTTATAGTTATTGAATAATATATTCCCTTGCTGTAATACAAGATAGTATTAACCATCTAAAATATATGTTGAGCTCTTTTCTTTTTCAAGTTTATCTAATTTTACATCTCCAAAACATGCGTCACAACTAAACTCTTTGCTGGAGGGCAATGGACCTGAGCTATAGATGTAAAGCATTCTAGCAGAGGAAAAAGATCTTTGTCAGGATTGGAAAGTTGCCACTTAGCAATGAAAGAGGGCATCAGAATCTGAAGATAGCTAGACTGCAAATTATGAAATTGAGAAATAAGAAACAATACTTAAACTATTGGAAAAGAATGAATTAAATTATCATGAAGTTTGAAATTCTTTACTAAATGACCATCTTGAACCCGCTTGTTAGTGTCTGAAATTCTTCATAAAAGACCCATAGAACTTTGTCGAACTGTTCATAGCCCTTTTGATGACTGGGACGCAAAAGTCCAAATTTACAATGTCAATGTATTTCAAACTGATAGCCCTAAGTTTTATATTATTTTACAGATATTATATTATATATACCTCTAAAACAAATTGATATATAAATTTGGGACGTAAAATTTTGATACATAATCCTATTTTTCCAATTTGAGTTGACAGATTCTCACTTACTCCTTTGTTTGCCGTAAATTTGTGGGCCTGTTCTGCTTTAAAAAATAGGCCCACTTAAATTAAAGCCCGTTACGCCCAATTAAATCTAAGCCTGTGAGGCCTACATGATTCCAGTATGTCGTCACTAATTGTATAGCAAATTTTTGCTCAAAACGCGAATCTTAGGCAGAGAAAGATGTGGAAGACAGTGCAAAAATGCCAGAAACTATCAGTCTTAGCCCGGAGAAACGACATCGTTTCAATCCAGCGTCTCTTACACAACGGTCCGGACACTTTGGAGGAGTTATTAGATAGACACGTGGTTAAGAAAGAGAAATCCCTCGACGATGACGAGGAAGAGCTGTTAACTCAGAGGCGACTCACCAGCACACGCCGAGAGGCACTCGGTCTGTATCGAGACATTCTACGGGCCACCAGATTCTTCATGTGGCCGGATTCATGTGGCGTTTTGTGGCGGGATATTTTGAGAGACAACGCCCGAAAGGAGTTTGAAGAGGCTCGCTTTGAAAGGGATCCGGAAATCGTCACCCGGTTGCTAATTGGAGGGCGTGATGCGGTGCAATCGGCTCTTGAGAAGCTTGCTGAGAAACAAAAGCAGCAGATTGAGAAGGAACGTGGCGGCGGAGATCCACGGTGATTGATTTATTCGGATTCTTCTGTAATTAACACTTGNGTCTCCTTGGAGGAGTTCACGTTATTCAGTCTAAAGGGAACTCTAACTCCACCATATCCTGCTAACTTAAAGACGCGACATGTCAAGAGTAAGAAATCCTTGTTTGAAGATAGAGATAGAATTTCTTGGGAAGAAGTTGCTCTAGTACTTGGAGAAGAAAATGAATACTAAAAATGATATATATTTAGAATGTGATAAGAGAGAATAGCCGCAATCAAACTCTGCCACTTTATATTTGGAAAATAGATAAAGAATGATATGTATTTACAACTAGAAGATACGACCATAAAAATTCAGTTATGGTATCAGAATCTTAAGATAGTTAGACTGCAAATCATGGTTATCAAATCGTGTATCGTATCGTGTATCGAAAACCTAATTTTTTAAATCGTGTATCGCGTATCGTATCGTATCGTAAGATACGCCTTTTTCGAAAAAATTAATAAAATAATCAAAATTTTATAAAAATTAATATAATCTCCAAGATTAATTAAAGAATTTGTGGTATTATTGACTTTAAATTACGGTATTACATAATCAAAATTAATCACAAAATTTCAAGATCAATGTCAATATCTATATCTCCACTTACATTATTATTATCATGTAAAATGAGTAATACATATTCCTCTTCACTTTCTTCATGCAAAATAGGTAAATTTGGATAGGTTTTAGTGAATCGGGTTGGGTGACCCGGTTTCGACCCGAAATTTTTTTTGGACCTTTGGCCCAAATTAATAAAGTCGTATCAATTTATATCGATATTTTTAAGGATACGAACGGATACGTATTGTATCGTAGGATACATATCAACGTATCGAATGGTTTAGGATACACTCTCTGATACGTATCGTTGACGATCTGTATCGAATCGTATCGTATGATACGTATCGGGTATCGTAGGATACTAACAACCATGCTGCAAATTATGAAATTGAGAAATAAGAAACAATACTTAAAGCTATTACAAAAAAGGCCACAATGAACTAATAATTTAATCTCTTTGTGGCATCCCAAATCGGAGAAGCAAAACAAGGATGGACCTGATTCAGTTCTTCTCCAACAGCATCAGCTAAAGTACAGATAGCATCATAGACAATTCTAAGGTTTCCTCTCTAAGTGCAATCAAGGAAAAAGCCATGAGAAAACAGCTGATAATTATATAAAATCATATGTTGTTAAATATGTAAATTAATTGTCTGAAAAGCATTATAAGTTAATTCATAGTGTTACGATAAACATGAATGTATATGCATCTAGAGAAAAAACCTAATATCTTCCAAAAACGGGAAAATGTAATTAAAATACTATTTCAAGTTTGGAATAAATTAAATTACTATGAAATTTGAAACTCTTTACTAAATAACCATCTTGAACCCGTTTGTTAGTATCTAAAATTCTTCATAAAAGACCCATAGAACTTTGTGGAACTGTTCATAGCCCTTTTGATGACTGGGACGCGAAAGTCCAAATTTACAATGTCAATGTATTTCAAACTGATAGTTCTAAGTTTTATATTATATATACTTCTAAAATAATACCGCGTGGGGCAAATTGATATATAAATTTGGGATGTAAAATTTTGATACATAATCCTATTTTTCCAATTTGAGTTGACAGATTCTCACTTACTCCTTTGTTTGCCGTAAATTTGTGGGCCTGTTCTGCTTTAAAAAATAGGCCCACTTAAATTAAAGCCCGTTAGGCCCAATTAAATATAAGCCTGTGAGGCCTACATGATTCCAATATGTCGTCACTAATTGTATAGCAAATTTTTGCTCAAAACGCGAATCTTAGGCAGAGAAAGATGTGGAAGACAGTGCAAAAATGCCAGAAACTATCAGTCTTAGCCCGGAGAAACGACATCGTTTCAATCCAGCGTCTCTTACACAACGGTCCGGACACTTTGGAGGAGTTATTAGATAGACACGTGGTTAAGAAAGAGAAATCCCTCGACGATGACGAGGAAGAGCTGTTAACTCAGAGGCGACTCACCAGCACACGCCGAGAGGCACTCAGTCTGTATCGAGACATTCTACGGGCCACCAGATTCTTCATGTGGCCGGATTCATGTGGCGTTTTGTGGCGGGATATTTTGAGAGACAACGCCCGAAAGGAGTTTGAAGAGGCTCGCTTTGAAAGGGATCCGGAAATCGTCACCCGGTTGCTAATTGGAGGGCGTGATGCGGTGCAATCGGCTCTTGAGAAGCTTGCTGAGAAACAAAAGCAGCAGATTGAGAAGGAACGTGGCGGCGGAGATCCACGGTGATTGATTTATTCGGATTCTTCTGTAATTAACACTTGAAGTTTATGTGTAAGGTTTTTGTTTTTGTTTTTCTGTTTATTTGTCAATTGTTTTGTTATGATATGAAAATTATGGAATTGAATGTGGTTTCAAGAAAAAAAAAACTAATTTTGGTGGAGATTTGAGAGAAGTCGATGGAGAGAGATGGAATAGTGAAGCTGGGGTTTGGTGGGGTTGGGTTGGGATCAATGTTAGGGTTTTTGCGGTGGGGTTCTTTGATTAAGGAGTTGAATTTGTCGCCGATTAGCGTTTCTTCGGTGATAAGGAAGTGTTTGGTTCGTTTTGGGTATCGTTGTTTATATCATCAGAGTCATCTTTAAGGGAAACTGAAGAAGAGGAGAAAGAGGAAGCTTTGAAGATGTGCTGAGAGATAGAGTGTGGGAAACGAAGCTTGGATTTGATTAAAGCCATCAATGGCGTATTCTAGCTTACTCTGTTTCAGTGGTGAAGGAGGAAGCTTTGAAGACGTGTTGAGAGAGAGTGTGTGGGAAACGAAGCTTGGATTTGATTAAAGCCATCAATGGAGAATTCTAATTTTTTGCTTTGTTGGTGGAAATGTAATAGAAAATGAAATGTAGGTGGGGATGGGGATCGCTTTAAGATTTGGATTTAATTTATTAAGAATTGGAGCGTAATTTTGTTAGTTGAGTAGAATTTAATCATTTTGAGCATGTTATTGGCATAGTTTTCTGTCAGCTGGTACATTTTTGGGATTCGTTTTCCATTGGAACAAAATAGAGGTTGACCCTTCAAAGATCAAGGCAATACTCGAGATGCCACCTCCGTTTACTCTGAAACAACTAAAAAGTCTCATGGGCAAGATATCCTACATTGGCTGATTTATTCCAAACCTCTCGAAGAAAGTAAAGCCCTGGTCAGTTATGATGAAAAGAAGGTATCTTATAATCAAACATGATTTTTGGCAGGATACGTGATGGTATTGGGAGGAAGATGCCTTCCATGGGCTATGTTAATTCTTTCCCAATTTTTGTTAGTGACTCATGTAGTGTTAGTGAATCATCTTTAGTAGTTGTAGGTTGATTTTCAAACCTTAGAGCCAATAAGTCTGGGGTTTAAATTCAGTTGTCTACATCTACAAAGCTATTGCAATTTGGCATGTAATATCTCGTATGCATATGTATCAACAGATGCTTGGAGATGGAGCATGGCAACAGTGCCTGTCTGCATTAAAGCCTCAAGTGAAGGACAAACTTTTTCAATACCAGGTATAGATCACAAATCAGAAGCTGCTTGCATCAACATGATTCTGCCTTCTGCAGATCAGAAGGTTTTGTTGAAGAATTTTTTGAGTGAATTGTTATTTGGTGAAGCGAAGCCTGCAGCTGCAGCCAATTTTATTTCTTTCAAAACCATCAACACTCTTAAAACAAACACTTATATAGAAATGGAAGCAACTGATATAGTATCATTAAAAGAGTGAATCAAATCGCAGTAGTTAAAGAAACCCTGAAAGTACCTCGACATGAGCGAAGATGGAACCGAGATGGTTGTTGAAATCAGGAAAATGACTATAGTGTTGGTCCTGTTGGAGCTGTTGCCAAATAAGAGACTTGTCAGCAGTTGGCGTACTGTGTTGTTTAAGAACACCGCATAATATATCTCTCAGGCCGCCTTCTTTTGTTTGCCATATGTTCTGTGCCGCCGTTTCTGATACCTTCGCCGATTAATTTCTTTTAGTAAGAAAATTCCATTCAGAAATCAGAATAAAAGCTGTATTTTCAAATTTTGCAAAAAGAGGCCCTTAAATTTCATCAAATTCTCTTATCTCCAGATTATTTCATTTTAATTACAATAATTTCCAAAAACGTTACCCAATTTACAAACAACCCCAAACACGGAGAGACCAATAGGAATAGTCTTGGCTCTTGACATGAAATTCTTTGACATTTGTGGTAAGATAAGGCTTAGTGGCTTACAGTACGAGCACTAATCTAGATTTAAGCATTAAATTATAGTCTCTGATGACAATTGACAAATCTATGGACCAATAAAAATATTCTTCTATTTCAATTTTCAAGCCCCGTCGTAAACCTTGTGCTGCCCACAATAACTGCTGAAAGGACTTAAACGTAAACCAGGAGCAGATAGGTCAAAGGATGACAAAATTACCAACGACTAGACTAACCGAATTTCTAATACAGACCGACAATTAGGGGTAAATTGGTCAATTGACTTTTGCCCAACTTCCTACCATATTTAAAAAAAATTTGCATATATATAGGTTTGTCGATTCGTGGATCTCCGATGTAAATTTAGTTCTGTACCTTTACATGGTAAAAAACTTAGTTGATTTCTGGAAGTAGAATTGTAATATTCAACGATTAGACTTTTGGTTTCGTGAATCGCTGTTTTAGGGTTTTGAGCGGTTTCATTAATGGCGAAAGTGAGGCATTCTCGGTTGCAAGCCAAGAAATTGTCAACGCTAATGCTGGTTTTGTCAATGCTATTCATGCTAACACTTGTTCTTTTGATGCTTTTGGCTATGGGGATTTTCTCTCTTCCAATAGACGACGATGATTCTCCGCCCAATGATCTCAGCTTCTACAGGCGCCTCACCATTGAAAAGTATGCATCTATCTCTTTATTCACTTTTTTTTTTCCTTTATTCAAAATTTTATTCTTTGCCCGTAAAATTTTACTAGCGGGAATATATTGCAGACATAATAAGACGGAGGAGATTAGAAAGCAATGGACCGAAGTCATTTCTTGGGAGCCTAGAGCTTTTATTTATCATAATTTCTTGGTCAGATTCATCTTTCCTTTCTCTGTTAATTAATGCTTGTTTTGTTTATTTATATAAAGCAGCAACCGGCACAGTGTATACAGCTATCATTTTTTTTTTTTAATCTTTGAAAGATTATTGGTCTCGAAACCAATTTGATGAACATATGACTAGTTTGCTGACAATATAATGCTTGTAGACATATTATGCGGGTTCCATGGATGAATAATTTTGATTCTACAATTATAGGGGAGGGATTGTACAGTGCCCTTCCTTTTAAGTGCATGTTCGCATTCGAACATAATTATTTTATGCACAAAATGGTTTTGAATAGATTAGCCTTTGTGTTCTTAGAAATATTGACTCTCTGACATACTAATTTGTACAGTCCAAGGCAGAATGTGACTACCTAATAAATCTTGCTAAACCACATATGGCAAAATCAACTGTTGTTGATAGCAAAACTGGTCGGAGTAAAGATAGCAGGTTTGCTTTCCTTGCAACCATCTCCATTTGCTTTGCTGATTAAATAAAAAAATTGAGGGTTTACGGTAATTTTTTCCCTGCTAAACAAAACTCTATTAAGGAACTTGGCATCTCGCCTGCAGGGTGCGTACAAGCTCCGGTATGTTTCTGAGGAGAGGACAAGATAAAGTAATTCGGAACATTGAAAAGCGGATTGCAGATTTCAGTTTCATTCCTGTTGGTGAGAGCCTATGCGTTTATCTAATTTTGGCTACATAAAATTGAAAAGCTCTTGCAAATTATATAACATTTTGTTTTGTTTTAACTAGCACGAGAGTGTTTCCAGCTAAAGTGCTTTACTAATCACTTTTCCATGTTGCATTTTGTGGCCCTGTAGATAAATGCTGAAATTTTTTTGTTATTCTTTTCCTGCATATCTATGTTCATGATTTTTCTTTAATCAATGATTCTGAACCAAAAGAAAACTGTAAATCTCTGTTTTGCTATTACCAGTTGGTTTGTCAATTCATGAAATTGCTCTGTTTAAGTGAACTTTACATTCTACAGAGCATGGAGAAGGACTTCAAGTCCTCCACTATGAAGTTGGACAGAAATATGATGCTCATTATGATTACTTCCTTGATGAGTTCAACACTAAGAATGGAGGGCAGCGGATAGCCACTCTTCTTATGTATTTGTAAGAGCTAATTGCCTTTGCCAACATCGTTGGAGCTGCTCACCATGTACCATAATTTTTTATTTAGTTACATCTTGTACAGAAAGCTGATGTTTGCCTTTCCACTTCTCTCTTTCTACTGTTGTTGCAGGTCAGATGTTGAAGAAGGGGGTGAGACAGTGTTTCCTGCTGCCAAAGCAAATTTCAGTTCTGTGCCATGGTGGAATGAGTTGTCTGAATGCGGAAAACAGGGTCTCTCCATAAAACCAAAAATGGGCGATGCATTGTTGTTTTGGAGCATGAGACCTGACGCCACGTTAGATCCTTCAAGTTTGCATGGTTAGCAATTCTGCATTTTTCTCTATTTGTTATGGACCTTTAGCTGTAATTCAAGAAATGATTCTGCAGTTTGTCACCTTTAGCTGTAATTCAAGAAATGATTCTGCAGTTTGTCTTGCATTTCAGAAGAAAAGTATTTGCCTCTTATCGTCTTCTTCTAGCATGAAACACTGACAGTTGCAAGTTATTTTACATTTTTTAGCAAGTGGTTTTCATTCACCAACACAATGTTATTGATGAGTTAAAATCATTTTGTGGTTGATTTTAGGCGGATGTCCTGTAATCACAGGAAACAAATGGTCATCTACAAAGTGGATGCATCTCAATGAGTACAAAGTCTGAGCTATTATCTGTAAAGGTAATTCTCAATGCCAAAACTAGTAAACTGCATGTAAAGGTTGCTGGCTTTGGCTTTCGAATTGGATGGTGTTCTAGGATGCTTATTGATATGTTGTTGCAATACATTCCTATTAAAATTGTTGGCTCAATTTTGTTTTCCAAAACATGCTGAATTACGTCTACATTATGGATGTGCATACTGTTTCTTTCACCAAACAAGTTCTTGGCTACGGCTTGTCAAAATGGAATTGTAGGGGACATCAACTTACATTTTTAACAAGTATGGCTAGTGGTCATTGAAATAGTGAGTATGTTTAATTATATGAGTAGGTAGCAATACGAGCATGGAAAATACAGAACTTATAGGCTTGGTTACACTCATTGTAATAGGATGTTATTTTAAGGCCTTATGGAATTGCTCCTTTACTCGCTACTTATATTTGCTCATGATTACTATCATTAAAGAAAGTAAGATATGCTATTGTAGTAGTATTTTTCTGCATAACATGGGTGAAGATTCGAAGTGATGTTTCTTCAAATTGGTATACGTAATTCTCATTCCTAACTGCAATTTGCTGACTGTACAATGCAATGCTGTTGCATGAAGCTAATTACTTGGCATTGATACAATTTCTTCTACTATGTCAAATTGGCAGGACTTAAAAGACATCAGAGTTTGTGTGGTTAATGGAACATTCTGGTGTGCCCCTCCGAACTACCATTTAAACATCATCATTACAACTGAGGTGACATGATTCTGTATATGACGGGTTTTTGTATCTTTACACCTGCATTTAGGTTGAAAGAAGCCCATCGTTCACTTGGAAAATAAAATGTGGTTCAGAGGATGTGATCTTCTACTTAGAAAATTATTAGCAAAATAGGAATTAGGTTGTTGCAAGTGATGTGTTGACAGATTAGTATAAACAAACCAAATAAATTCTGAACCACATTATATATACTTACTTTACTTAGGAACATGCGCATACTTCATGTTTATTGATACTACACGTTACCTTGGAGTCGTTTGATTTATTTGGGATCAAAGCGACTTGAACTATCCTCTGTGTTCAACAAAGCTACGCACACCGAAAATTTTGCACCAAAAATGTGTACCGGCCTACGTGTACCCTTGACTCACACCACAGTCCAGACGCCTGATTTTTTTATAAATATTTTTCTAGTGAACGGTCGTCCATCAAATATGGACGACCGTTCACTCATATGGACCCCCGTATATAGACGGGGGTCCATATACGATGGACGAGCGTCCCCATTTAAAGGACGCTCGTCTATAAATAAAATACAATAAAATTTTTTTATAAACATTAGGGATGGTCGTTCATCCGTTATGGACGGCTGTCCCTTCATTTTGAATGGGCGTCCGCAAATAAGGGACACTTATTTTTAATCAAAATATGAAAATAAAAAATAAAAAACTTTGGGGACGCCCGTCCATACTTTTAAACCTAATGGACACTCGTCCATACTTTTAAAAAAAAAAAAATTTCTAAACAAACTTCGCTCTTCTTCTTGTCTTCATTCCCTGTCTCCTCTTTTTTTCTTCGTCTTCATTCCCCATCTCCTCTCTTCTTCGTCGTCTTTGTTTTATGAGATAAACGTGCCAAATCCAAAGGCTCCAAATCCCAGAAAACTACAGAAGCAAAACAGAGAGAGCTTAAACATTGCACCTATATACCAAAAAATACAGTTAAAAGATAAAGTTGCAGGTGGCTTCCCCTTCCTACAAAGGTATCTTCAATTTATACCACAAATGAAAATAAGGGAGTTAGTATTACCAGATCTCATGAGGTTTCGGGAAAATCTAGTACATATGGGACATCATAAGCTGCTGGGAAAAGTGGAAGTCTATCTCTAGATGCTTTAGCCAAAGCTAAGAAAGCTTTACAAATGCAGAAGGAATTGTCAGAATAGCTGAAGAAGATACCATTGGTAAGAAGAATCTCCACTGTTAAGAAAGTTGTTTCTTTCCTCTTCTCTCATGTGGTCAATTTTATGTTTGTTTAGTAATATGTATTCTTTGGTAGACACTGAATGCACTGAATGCCGCTTTTCATTTTTTTAGTTGAACAAGGGCACAAGTTCAGATGGTAGCTCAGTCTCTGGATTGAAAGACGGAGAGAAAGTGCCATCCCCTGGTACTGGAATAATGCAGGGATCAAGATCAAGAACTGCAAATGCTTTATCATTTGGTGCAATGCCTAGTTCATCAAACTTACAAGTTGCCACAGCAGCTTATGTGAAGCCACCTGCAAGTGGGGTGCCTACTATTCCTGGCCTTACTAATATACCCAACATTGAAGCTGTTAAATGTGCTCAAGAGCTCGCTGCTAAGATGGGCTTTCGTCAAGACCCTTAAATTTTTGGGTAAATAAGTGCAATGTTTAAGCTCTCCCTGTTTTGCTTCTGTGGTTTTCTGGGCTTTGGAGCCTTTGGATTTGGCACGCTTATCTCATAAAACAAAGACGAAGAAGAAGAGAGGAGATGGGGAATGAAGACGAAGAAAANGTAGACACTGAATGCTGCTTTTCATTTTTTTAGTTGAACAAGGGCACAAGTTCAGATGGTAGCTCAGTCTCTGGATTGAAAGATGGAGAGAAAGTGCCATCCTCTGGTACTGGAATAATGCAAGGAACAGGATCAACAACTACAAATGCTTTATCATTTGGTGCAATGCCTAGTTCATCAAACTTACAAGCTGCCGCAGCAGCTTTTGTGAAGCCACCTGCAAGTGGGGTGCCTACTATTCCTGGCCTTACTAATATACCCAACATTGAAGCTGTTAAACGTGCTCAAGAGCTCGCTGCTAAGATGGGCTTTCGTCAAGAGCCTTAAATTTTTGGGTAAATAAGTGCAATGTTTAAGCTCTCCCTGTTTTGCTTCTGTGGTTTTCTGGGCTTTGGAGCCTTTGGATTTAGCACGTTTATCTCATAAAACAAAGACGAAGAAGAAGAAAGGAGATGGGGAATGAAGACGAAGAAAAAGAGAGGAGATGGGGAATGAAGACGAAGAAGAAGAGCAAAGATTGTTTAGAATTTTTTTTTTTTTTTAAATTATGGACAGCTCCAAACGTAAAGGACGGTCGTCCAAAATTCATGGACGGCTGTCCGTAAAGTTTTTTTTTTTTTTTTTCATATTTTAGTTAAGGACGGACGTCCCTTATTTGCGGACGCCCGTCCAAAATGAAGAGACGGCTATCCATAACGGATGAACGACCGTCCCTAATTTTATAAAAAAATTTTATTGTATTTTATTTATGGACTAACGTCCTTTAAATGGAGACGCCCATCCATCGTATATAAACCCCTGTCCATATAATATGGACGAGGGTTCATGTGAGTGAACGGTCATCCATATTTGATAGACGGTCGTTCACTAGAAAAATATTTATAGAAAAATCATACGCCTAGACTGTTAGTGTAAGTCAAAGGTTCACGTAGGCCGGTACACATAGGCCGATACACATTTTCGGTGTCCGTAGCTTTGTCGCCTCTATGTTTTATCAATTTAGTAATTTATTTCTCTCTAACAGAAGATGATGATGCGGCAATGAGATCGACATAAAAAATTAAAAATAACAAAAATAATAATAGTTTTTTTTACAACATTAAAAAAAATGAACTGTCACAAAGTTATCATGGCAATGGTCACCTTCTTAATAAGAAAGCCACGTTGATCCGGTACTTGATTTTGGACCCAATAATAATTTGACCTGAAAACAATTTGTTGAAGCATTTGCGCTTTCTTCCAGACATGAAATCGAAGTCATCTTTGTTAATATGTAATTCCACGAATGGTTGTTTAAATTCTGGGACAAAATGGTTACAAGTCCCGTTCAAGAGAATCTGGACATGATTATGATCATCTGTAGCACTGCTCACAAGTATCTTGAAATGATCATGTTCATCTACCTAACAGTATACTTTACACCCAAACATGCGTTGTAATGTCAGCCACTTCTCTCTGCCAATGCAGTGTCTTTAGTCATTACACCATGCGCTTTCTTTCTAACTTCAATCATGTTTCACGTTTAGGCTGCACATCAGGATATTGATAGCCAGAAAACAAGTTCTGAGAATCATTTCCTCAAATCATTAATAACAACATTAAATAGAAAATGAATAGATAAAGAGTTCAACCAATGGAATTCTCTAACTTCTATCAGTCGACAAGTTTCATCAAAAAGTTGGCCCGATAACAACTTGACTGGGCTAAACCCCAAAAGCCGACAAGGCAAGATTGGCTTGAGAAACGCAAATCCAACATGTGTGTAAATGTTAAATTTTGGGTTTCTTTTTAGTTAAGTACCCACCAAAATTCTTTCCAATGCAACAATTACAAACAAGAGAACTTTGGTGAGCTTAATTTGGTAACTCCGTTTTTTTCTCAAAAGCCTTCAATCCTACTAAAGCTTTGGAGATGAATGTCGAGGGCATATGTGAACCAATGTTCAATTGACAAGTAATGTAAACAATCTCTGAACATGTATAGCAAATTAGATGCCCAATACCTTCTCGGTGCCAATTTCCCGCAGTTGGTGCAAAGCCTCAGCAAAATCAGGAGGTGGTGGGCGTGAAAAGTGTATATTGTCCCGTGTGTGTGGATGTATGAACCTACAAATTCGAAGCAATAATCTTATGGTAAAACACATAATTAAATAAGAAGTTAAATGTTAGAGATAGCTTTATTATGTACCCAAGAGCAAAAGCATGGAGGCAAGGCCTCTCTAATCCAGACACCAACTTCAAGAGTTTGCCATCACAGCTAGGTGGAGTTCTGGGCTGAAGCAGTGACATGGCCATGTTCTTGGTCCCTCCATACACTTCATCACCTAATAGAGGAATTCCCAGGTACTTTGCATGTGCACGTATCTACTACATAGATTCCACACCAGGAATTGAGAGTATAAACTATAAGAGTCAAAAACTTTTATAGTTGGGATTTACAGCATAGTGATTTAAATGACTACAGCTAAAAACTATATAGATTTTCAATGTTAAATAGAACAAAAAGACTTTGTGGTGCTATTTCTCCACCCAGCTTACACAACCTGGCCAAAAGAATTTTGCTTAATTCAAGGTGCATAGAAGACTAAAGTGATCATCACTCGATTTTTTTTTTTTTTTTTTTTCACCTGTATTTTTAAGTAACAAGCATTACTCGCTAAAAGCTCTTTTTGACAAGTAGATGGCAAATCTTATGGGTATAATATTTCTTTTAAAACTAACGAAAACTCTTTGAGGTTTACTCAAAAACTATGCTAGGCAAAGTATNTGTACTTGATTTTGGACCCAATAATAATTTGACCTGAAAACAATTTGTTGAAGCATTTGCGCTTTCTTCCAGACATGAAATCGAAGTCATCTTTGTTAATATGTAATTCCACGAGTGGTTGTTTAAATTCTGGTACAAAATGGTTACAAGTCCCGTTCAAGAGAATCTGGACATGATTATGATCATCTGTAGCACTGCTCACAAGTCTCTTGAAATGATCATGTTCATCTACCTAACAGTATACTTTACACCCAAACAGGCGTTGTAATGTCAGCCACTTCTCTCTGCCAATGCAGTGTCTTTAGTCATTACACCATGCGCTTTCTTTCTAACTTCAATCATGTTTCACGTTTAGGCTGCACATCAGGATATTGATAGCCAGAAAACAAGTTCTGAGAATCATTTCCTCAAATCATTAATAACAACATTAAATAGAAAATGAATAGATAAAGAGTTCAACCAATGGAATTCTCTAACTTCTATCAGTCGACAAGTTTCATCAAAAAGTTGGCCCGATAACAACTTGACTGGGCTAAACCCCAAAAGCCGACAAGGCAAGATTGGCTTGAGAAACGCAAATCCAACATGTGTGTAAATGTTAAATTTTGGGTTTCTTTTTAGTTAAGTACCCACCAAAATTCTTTCCAATGCAACAATTACAAACAAGAGAACTTTGGTGAGCTTAATTTGGTAACTCCGTTTTTTTCTCAAAAGCCTTCAATCCTACTAAAGCTTTGGAGATGAATGTCGAGGGCATATGTGAACCAATGTTCAATTGACAAGTAATGTAAACAATCTCTGAACATGTATAGCAAATTAGATGCCCAATACCTTCTCGGTGCCAATTTCCCGCAGTTGGTGCAAAGCCTCAGCAAAATCAGGAGGTGGTGGGCGTGAAAAGTGTATATTGTCCCGTGTGTGTGGATGTATGAACCTACAAATTCGAAGCAATAATCTTATGGTAAAACACATAATTAAATAAGAAGTTAAATGTTAGAGATAGCTTTATTATGTACCCAAGAGCAAAAGCATGGAGGCAAGGCCTCTCTAATCCAGACACCAACTTCAAGAGTTTGCCATCACAGCTAGGTGGAGTTCTGGGCTGAAGCAGTGACATGGCCATGTTCTTGGTCCCTCCATACACTTCATCACCTAATAGAGGAATTCCCAGGTACTTTGCATGTGCACGTATCTACTACATAGATTCCACACCAGGAATTGAGAGTATAAACTATAAGAGTCAAAAACTTTTATAGTTGGGATTTACAGCATAGTGATTTAAATGACTACAGCTAAAAACTATATATATTCTCAATGTTAAATAGAACAAAAAGACTTTGTGGTGCTATTTCTCCACCCAGCTTACACAACCTGGCCAAAAGAATTTTGCTTAATTCAAGGTGCATAGAAGACTAAAGTGATCATCACTCGATTTTTTTTTTTTTTTTTTTTCACCTGTATTTTTAAGTAACAAGCATTACTCGCTAAAAGCTCTTTTTGACAAGTAGATGGCAAATCTTATGGGTATAATATTTCTTTTAAAACTAACGAAAACTCTTTGAGGTTTACTCAAAAACTATGCTAGGCAAAGTATAGGTTGATGAAGTAACAACCTATAATCAATGCAATTAATATTATTCATCAACATTGGGAAAAATAAGCTTAAATTTTATACACCATGTAGTACCTGATGAGTGCGTCCAGTTTCTAATCTCCACTCCACCAGTGCACAAGCACCACCAGCAAGAATTTCAATTACCTTGTACCTGATAAAGGTTCAACCAACTTTAACCAACAACATCAAAAACTGGGAAATGTTTACTCTTGTGAGTGTAATCTCTCAGAGAATAATCTATATTCTGTCAGATGACACAGAAATAGAATATTCTTGCTAAAATGGGTTTGAATCAAACATATAAAACTGCCCTCAGAATAGACTTTTATTCAAGTCCCAATCTTCACCTTTTTGTGTCTTTTCCCCGACTTTTTAAGCAAAAGTCAATAAATCAATCACAATTATATTCTACAAAATTTGCGTTCCTGCCTGAATCTCAATTTCAATTAGTTTAAGGTATTTTATAATAAACTTCTTAATCAGATGGGTGTTTTTATCAACCCAACTGTTAGATTTGCTACTTACTAATAAAGTGGAGAACCATAATTCACCTACTAGCTGCATAACGAGCCTGCCCATGTTTGATTGGTCCAGGTATAGCAGTCATACGAATCCGGTTGTTTGAATCACGACCAATTGGAACCTCAACACGTCCAGAAGATTGGGAAGGAAATCCAGAAGTAAGACTGATATAGACTCTCTGGATACTGTGCAACTTGAATTGTTCTGATAAATGGGCATGAGAATGTTCATCCTGCCATTGACATGTAATTAGTCAAGAAGACTAAAAAAGTGCACATCAGGCTAACCCATAAATTCAACTATGGGAGGCAACCTTAAATAGACTAATAACTGCTGATGCTTAGAGAAATTATCAGAAGTGGGCAAAATTCACCTTTGCAACAACAAGCAATCCACTGGTGCCTTTGTCCAACCTGTGCACAATTCCAGGTCGAACAGATGCTGCTGCACATATACTTGAAGTTAACTCTTCCTCATCAGAAATATCCTCAGCATCTGAAAGAACTTCCTGGTTTTTAAATGCAACCGTTGGAAGACTGCAATGGTGAAGAATGCCATTGACAAGTGTGCCAGTAACATTGCCTGGTGCTGGATGAACGACCTGGTAATGAAGAAACACATATTTGCAGCATCAGAAAATAGGCAAAACACCAATAATATTTCTCAAAGCTAAATAATCAATAATTGGAAATAGTATTCAGCTAATTTTTGCTTTACAACAATTTCAATGAAAAAAAAAAATTATTTTATGTTCAATGAAAAAATAATTTCAACCCAAACTTTAAAAAAAAAAAAAATTAAAAAAAAATTCAAAATTAGTTACCATGTGAGCAGGCTTGTTAACAACTAGTACATGATCATCTTCATAAACTATATCCAAAGGTATATCTTCAGGTACAGCCCTTAAAGGTTGCAACTCCGAAATCGTGCAATTCACCTTATCCCCAACTTTCACACTATGCGAAGCCTGCTCAGTCAACAATAATTCAACTCTAAAATAATTCGAATATTATAATTAATATTGAGACCTCACTTAAAAAAAATATCAAAATACAACAACAAACTTACCTTGTTAATAACTTGTCCGTTAACACTAACGAGGCCGGAACGGATACTTGACTGAACGCGAGCTCTGCTAATTCCAACAATGCGAGATGAAATCCAAGAGTCGAGTCTGAGTTTGCCTGCAGCTTTTAAATTGACTGTTTCTTCCAATTGGACGCCACCGAAGTTGGTGACAGGTTCTTGGTTTTTGTCTCTGCTGGAACAACAACGAACTCTCAGGAATTTATAAACCCTAGAAGAGTTTATTATAGGAGAGGATTTAAGGGCTCCTGTAGAGGGAGCTGAGCAATAAGATAGTGAGTGGAGAGAGCTGAGCATCTTGCTGTTCTGTTAAGTTTATTTGTTTGTTTGGTCACTCCTTATATAATCACAATTACGACGTCGTTTACCATGACGTCTTTGACAAATGATCTATAACTTTAAATCCGAACTAGGCCTGCAAAACAACTCGACGCACGAGCCGCTTGGGCTTGAACTAAACTCCACAAAAGTAAGTCAAGACCAATAATACTCAACTTGAACAATTTGCAAGTTTATTCGAGTTCGCATAGCATATAATATTTCAATTACAATATATATATGTAAAATTAAACCTATTATAACTGAGGTCGAGTTCAATTTTAACTTAGTTGTAATCAAACCGACTATACACCTATTGACAATGGCGGATATATATATATATATATATATATATAAACCGATTATAACTGAGGTCGAGTTCAATTTTAACTTAGTTGTAATCAAACCAACTATACACCTATCGACAGTGGCAGACCCAGGATTTTTGCCGGGGGAAGGGGGGTTCTCTGCGGTTCCTTCATTATTTGTCAAACAACTAGGAAAAACTTTAAAAAAATCATCAAACCTTAAGCAAATGAAATAATATAATATCAATAATATGAAAGAAAATTATACAATAACATAACACTTTACTACTTGAATAAATCTATGAAAAGCAAAACCTTGAACAACTTATGTTGAAAATAACATCAAATTCAAGAGGAAACACAAGAAAATTTTTACGTGGAAAAACCTCTTCAATTAAAGAGAGCAAAAGACCACGGGAATCTAACGGTCTACTTAAATCCAATATAATTAAAAGAGTTTACAACAATCACAATTCACCAAAAAAGTTCTACACAAATTTCTTATTTCTCCTTCATTTTTTTTTTTTTTTTTTTTGGCTTTCAAAGATTATAATATAAATTTTCATGACTTTGATCAGGCCTAACCTAAGCTAAAATCAATCAAAACTTAAATTAAGTCAGCGTTACCTTAAGCAGTCAAACGGTGATATGTTTCAAATGTAGGAAAGTGATGGATGAAGGATAAAGAATAACATTCAGTAAAATATAGTTAAGGTTTAGTTTGAGAAAGCATGAACATTCTTAAACACAAAACAAACTCACAAGATCCATGCATTTTTCCGTCAAATTAGAGTAAAAAACCTTCAAACAATAAACATGATTCAACCTAAAATAAACTAAAATGAAATGAGCAATACACATATCTAAAATTGATAAAACAGAAAACGAAATTAATTGTGACACCTTGATTAGTGAAAGCTTCAATAATTTCAATCTTCAAAAGTTTTAAAAACGAATAACATAGAGAAAGTGAAAAAGAGAGTAAAGAATTTTAGGGATAAAATCATAAAAAATAGGTGGACGTAGAAAAAAGTGGAAGAAATTTTAAACTTTTAATATAATGTAAGCCTGGAATGCATATATATTAATAACAAATTTTTTATAAGTCTGGATATATATATATATTTTAAATCTAAATGTAGACCTAAATATATATATTAATAGAATTTTTTTATGGGCCTATATAATGGGTCCGCCCTTGCCTATCGAGTAAGAGCTCGAGCTCGACAATTGAAGTTTAATCGAGCTCAAGCTTCGACTATTGTAGTCGAGTGAGGTCGAGTTTCTCAAGACTCGACTCGACACGACTCGACTCAATTACAACCCTAATTATTCCCAATTATTTAGCGGAATTATAATCTTATATTAAATTTACAAATTGAAAATACAAATAAGTGTTGGCAAATTTAGCCCCATGATGAGCTGGAGTTGCATTGTGTAGTTTTGACATCACGAAAGCTGCAAGGAGTTTTATTAACACATGCACGAAGAATAAAGCTCAATTTGCAAGCTAACAACTGCGACTCGGCCATCTATTGGCTTTTATTATCTTCACAAGGTATAAAAACCTGCTTTTACGTGAGTTTACTTTCCCATTGTATCTTGCGGTCCTTTTCTCATCATGGTTGCAAACTCCTCGTAGTTAATTCTTCCATCCTGTTTACAAGAATCCCATTATGATAAAATCAGTCATCATTGATAATGCCAGTCAAATATTAAGATGCATGCGATTGAAGTAGAGAAAGTTACTTTATCGGTATCAACATCTTCAATAATTTCATCTATTGTCGCCTCATCACCCATTCCATGTTGAGTCATAGCTTGTCTCAACTCCTCTCTTGTAATAAAACTGATACAAATAAATCCAGTCAGTTCAAATTGAATAATTCTGATAGCACATGCTCAAAACTAATGAATTGATTGATTTTAGTTCGAAATTCCGAAATACTTGTGGGATTTTACTTCATAAGCATTAGGATCAATCCTTACAAGGTAATGGGTAACTCTTAGAGAACATTGACAGAAAAAAAAATGTAACAGTACTACTAACCCGCTGTTGTCCTTGTCAAAATATTGAAATGCTTCGTACAAATGTTCTTCCTTCTCTAGTTTATGCCTTTGCATAGTAGCAGTAATGAATTCAGTGTAATCAATGGTTCCACTTTTGTCAACATCAGCCTGAAAAAATTTAAACCAGTCAACAACTTTTTACAGGGCAAGAGGGAACCATATAATTTTTGCTTGAAGTAAGTTGGCTATAAATATCCATAAACATTAATGCAGAATTTCTTTTCTCACAGAAAGAACACTAACAATAGGGAATGATAAAAGTTCTTACGGCATCCATTAGCTGCTTTATTTCTGCTTCAGTAAGCTTAGATCCCAGCCTGGACAATCCATCTTTTAGTTCTTCATACGTGATTGTGCCACTTCCATCAGTATCCATGTTGTTAAACATCTCTTTCAAGCCCTTGATTTCTTCTGTCGAGAGGTTTTCTGCTATGATCTTCAGTAATCAAGTTTTCAAGTTTTCAGATCAGGAAAGCAGCCAGCAAGAAAAATTAAACAGAAAATAGAATAAAGAAATGCAGAGAGTAGATAGCTGTAGCCTGTAGTCTATAAGATAAATTTGAAGATATAATAACTGAACCACTGAAATAACTGAGGATCCGGTCTGCACAGACTGTTTTCTTAGCTTATATATTCAGATATCATCGATCATACCTTTAAGGCAAGCTTCTTCATCTTGTTCATTGCTCTGAATTGCTTCATCCTAGTTAGAACAGCACTATCAATTGGTTTATCAGATGTTTCAGCACCCACCTGTAGCCATGGATGTGCTGTTTCAAATACATAACATGAATGATGTTAATGTAGTCACTGCCTAAAAATAACAGTGACCTATATTTACAATGGAGCTAAATACATATATTACATCCAAAACCCTTTATATATACATCAAGAGAATTCAGAGATGGTGACACTTTGCCACCTGAAATTCTTTCCCCAGCTGATGATCACATCTACAGCAAGATCAATCAACTGGGGACATGGTTATTTAAGACACAACTTAGAAAAGGGGTAACCTTCAAAATGAGATCATGGGATTAGTTTAAACATGTTTCCCAATTCAAAATTTTAATTCAAGTATGTCCATACCAAGGGTGTCTGCAGCAGTGATTCGTTTCTTAGGATCCTTTGTTAACATTTTCCTGACTAGATCTTTAGCAGAAGACGATATGGAAGGCCATGGTGAGCTCTGTAAGTCCACGTTACCTTCTAAAACTGCTTCAAATATGCCCTTCTCGGTCTCTATAACAAAATTGAACCCATTACAGAAGATTAGAGCCAAGAAAGAAAACATAAAAGTAAATAATTTAATATGGTGGAAAGATAAATTTTTCAGAATCAGCAAAACATAAAATTTCTCCAGGTAAACCAAAGGCACGGTTTAACCAAGTGGAAGTTCCATAATCTCTGGCAGTATATTTTGCTCCTCTACAGTTGTTTCAACTTTCAAAATGTTTTTAAATACAACATGCAGCATGTTCATTAAAAATTAGGAAGCATGAATAACTCAAATGTCCAAAAATAGTTAGCAAAATAATATTAACTCTTTCCATGCAAAAATGTGTCATATTGTCAAGGCCTACTAGCGGACAATTGTAATGATAAATACATGCAAATTTAGTTCACCACTTGTCTGCTATATATGTTTGCTAGCAAGATCCATTTAAAAGGTAATTTTTGGTGTCCATTTTGTGTTCTCTGGTGTCAAATCAACTGAAAAAGATACCAACAATCTTCACATACCACCCCAAAATGGAGGCACTCCACTTAATAGAATGTATAAAATGACTCCAGCACTCCATACGTCTATCTCCTTCCCATAGTTTCGCCGCAACACCTCTGGGGCAACATAGTATGCACTTCCAACAATGTCCTTATACACTTTCCCTAGTGAATCACATAAGAGGATATAAGACCAATGATTACTTGAGACATCACACACAGAAAAGTCAGACAATATAAGTACCAGAAAATGAAATTTGTACAAGAAAAAGCTTCTATGCAACAATAAAACAGATTATACAAATGAGATCTTGTTAGTTATCCTTCACTTTGGAGTTTTCCTAATGCAAAAATATACTTTCCTGCACAACTTTGTAACAAAAGTTCCAAACTCCGTAGAATCAGATTGTAACAACTTGCATGTTAGCAATACCAATATAAGACATTACTAGTATTATCAATGGCAGCTTAAATTTTGACTGCTCGATATTTAAGTTCCCATTAAGGCCATTATTCTTCCATTTCCTTAACAATCTACAAGCATTTTCATTGTCTCACAGTATTATACACAATTCCTCTATTTCATTATAACCTACTACAAGCTCAAGCACTGTTCTCATAGTGTTATATAAGATTATTCATTGTCATGCTAACAAAAATAAAAACATTAATTATTGATCAATAACTCAAGAAATGCAAGGCCGATATTGGGGGAAGAAAAAGTACCCTATTCAACATTCATATGAGTGGACATGCATCACACCATTGACTTTACCGTGTCTTTTGGTTCCAATAGTCTTTTAATGCTAACTACATTTGTCTCATTGGTTGTTTAATTATTCAGCAAGTGACAGGCTAAATCATATGACGTGAATCATGTGATGAATCCAGTATGAGTTTTTTTTTTTCCTGTAATCCTTTAACTGATATAAAATCATTGACTTGGTTGACCAGTCCTTATCTCCATTGACTTAGGTCATCTTGACCTATAATTGCATCTAAATCGAAGTCCCTTTCCAGCTCCTATTTGATGTATTAAGTTTACAAGTTCAGATGGTAGCTCAGTCTCTGGATTGAAAGATGGAGAGAAAGTGCCATCCTCTGGTACTGGAATAATGCAAAACAGGATCAACAACTACAAATGCTTTATCATTTGTGCAATGCCTAGTTCATCAAACTTACAAGCTGCCGCAGCAGCTTTTGTGAAGCCACCTGCAAGTGGGGTGCCTACTATTCCTGGCCTTACTAATATACCCAACATTGAAGCTGTTAAACGTGCTCAAGACTCGCTGCTAAGATGGGCTTTCGTCAAGAGCCTTAAATTTTTGGGTAAATAAGTCAATGTTTAAGCTCTCCCTGTTTTGCTTCTGTGGTTTTCTGGGCTTTGGAGCCTTTGGATTTAGCACGTTTATCTCATAAACAAAGACAAGAAGAAGAAGGAGATGGGGAATGAAGACAAGAAAAAAGAGGAGATGGGGAATGAAGACGAAGAAGAAGAAAAGATTGTTTAGAATTTTTTTTTTTTTTTTAATTGGACAGCTCCAAACGTAAAGGACGGTCGTCCAAAATTCATGGACGGCTGTCCGTAAAGTTTTTTTTTTTTTTTTTTCATATTTTAGTTAAGGACGACGTCCCTTATTTGCGGACGCCCGTCCAAAATGAGAGAGCTATCCATAACGGATGAACGACCGTCCCTAATTTTATAAAAAAATTTTATTGTATTTTATTTATGGACTAACGTCCTTTAAATGGAGACGCCCATCCTCGTATATAAACCCCTGTCCATATAATATGGACGAGGGTCATGTAGTGAACGGTCATCCATATTTGATAGACGTCGTTCACTAGAAAAATATTTATAGAAAAATCATACGCCTAGACTGTTAGTGAATCAAAGGTTCACGTAGGCCGGTACACATAGGCCGATACACATTTTCGGTGTCCGTAGCTTTGTCGCCTCTATGTTTTATCAATTTGTAATTTATTTCTCTCTAACAGAAGATGATGATGCGGCAATGAGATCGACAATAAAAATTAAAAATAACAAAATAATAATATTTTTTTTTACAACATTAAAAAAAATGAACTGTCACAAAGTTATCATGGCAATGGTCACCTTCTTAATAAGAAGCCACGTTGATCGGTACTTGATTTTGGACCCAATAATAATTGACCTGAAACAATTTGTTGAAGCATTTGCCTTTCTTCTCCAGACATGAAATCGAAGTCATCTTTGTTAATATGTAATTCCACGAATGGTTGTTTAAATTCTGGGACAAAATGGTTACAAGTCCCGTTCAAGAATCTGGACATGATTATGATCATCTGTAGCACTGCTCACAAGTACTTGAAATGATCATGTTCATCTACCTAACAGTATACTTTACACCCAAACATGCTTTGTAATGTCAGCCACTTCTCTCTGTCAATGCAGTGTCTTTAGTCATTACAACCTATGCTTTCTTTCTAATTCAATCATGTTTCACGTTTAGGCTGCACATCGGATATTGATAGCCAGAAAACAAGTTCTGAAATCATTCCTCCAATCATTAATAACACATTAATAGAAAATGAATAGTATAAGAGTTCAACCGGAATCTCTCACTTCTATCAGTCAACAAGTTTCATCAAAAAGTTGGCCCGATAACAACTTGTGGGCTAAACCCAAAAAGCCGACAGCAAGATTGGCTTGAGAAACGCAATCCACATGTGTGTAAATGTTAAATTTTGGGTTTCTTTTTAGTTAAGTACCCCCAAAATTCTTTCCAATGCAACAATTACAAACAAAGAACTTTGTGAGCTTAATTTGGTAACTCCGTTTTTTTCTCAAAAGCCTTCAATCCTACTAAGCTTTGGAATGAATGTCGAGGGCATATGTGAACCAATGTTCAATTGACAAGTAACGTAAACAATCTCTGAACATGTATAGCAAATTAGATGCCCAATCCTTCTCGGTGCCAATTTCCCGCGTTGGTGCAAAGCCTCAGCAAAATCAGGAGGTGGTGGCGTGAAAAGTGTATATTGTCCCGTGTGTGGGGATGTATGAACCTACAAATTCGAAGCAATAATCTATGGTAAAACACATAATTAAATAAGAAGTATATGTTTAGAGATAGCTTATTATGTACCCAACAAAAAGCATGGAGGCAAGGCCTCTCATCCAGACACCAACTTCAAGAGTTTGCCATCACAGCTGGTGGAGTTCTGGGCTGAAGCAGTGACATGGCCATGTTTCTTGGTCCCTCCATACACTTCATCACCTAATAGAGGAATTCCCAGGTACTTTGCATGTGCACATCTACTACATAGATTCCACACCAGGAATTGAGAGTATAAACTATAAGAGTCAAAAACTTTTATAGTTGGGATTTACAGCATAGTGTTTAAATACTAGCTAAAAACTATATATTTTCAATGTTAAATAGAACAAAAAGACTTTGTGGTGCTATTTCTCCACCCAGCTTACACAACCTGGCCAAAGAATTTTGCTTAATTCAGGGTGCATAGAACTAAAGTGATCTACACTCGATTTTTTTTTTTTTTTTTTTCACCTGTATTTTTAAGTAACAAGCATTACTCCTAAAGCTCTTTTTGACAAGTAGATGCAAATCTTATGGGTATAATATTTCTTTTAAAATACGAAAACTCTTTGTGGTTTACTCAAAAACTATGCTAGGCAAAGTATAGGTTGATGAAGTAACAACCTATAATCAATGCAATTAATATATTCATCAAGATTGGGAAAATAAGCTAAAATTTTATACACCATGTAGTACCTGATGAGTGCGTCCAGTTTCTAATCTCCACTCCACCAGTGCACGCACCACCACAAGAATTTCAATTACCTTGTACCTGATAAAGGTTCAACCAACTTTAACCAACAACATCAAAAACTGGAAATGTTTACTCTTGTGAGTGTAATCTCTCAGAGATAAGCTTTATTCTGTCAGATGACACAGAATAGAATTCTGCTAAAATGGGTTTGAATCAACATATAAAACGCCCTCAGAATAGACTTTTATTCAAGTCCCAATCTTCACCTTTTTGTGTCTTTTCCCTGACTTTTTAACAAAATTCAATAAATCAATCACAATTATATTCTACAAAATTTGCGTTCCTGCCTGAATCTCAATTTCAATTTTAAGGTATTTTATAATAATTCTTAATCAGATGGGTGTTTTTATCAACCCAACTGTTAGATTTGCTACTTACTAATAAGTGGAAACCATAATTCACCTACTAGCTGCATAACGACCTGCCCATGTTTGATTGGTCCAGGTATAGCAGTCATACAATCCGGTTGTTTGAATCACGACCAATTGGAACCTCAACACGTCCAGAAGATTGGGAAGGAATCCAGAAGTAAGACTGATATAGACTCCTGGATACTGTGCAACTTGAATTGTTCTGATAAATGGGCATGAGAATGTTCACCGGCCATTGACATGTAATTAGTCAAGAAGACTAAAAAGTGCACATCAGGCTAACCCATAATTCAACTATGGGAGGCAACCTTAAATAGACTAATAACTGCTGATGCTTAGGAAATTATCAAAGTGGGCAAAATTCACCTTTGCAACAACAAGCAATCCACTGGTGCCTTTGTCCAACCTGTGCACAATTCCAGTCGAACAGATGCTGCTGCACATATACTTGAAGTTAACTCTTCCTCATCAGAAATATCCTCAGCATCTGAAAGAACTTCCGGTTTTTAAATGCAACCGTTGGAAGACTGCAATGGTGAAGAACATTGACAAGTGTGCCAGTAACATTGCCTGGTGCTGGATGAACGACCTGGTAATGAAGAAACACTATTTCAGCATCAGAAATAGGCAAAACACCAATATATTTCTCAAAGCTAAATAATCAATAATTGGAAATAGTATTCAGCTATTTTTGCTTTACAACAATTTCAATGAAAAAAAAAAAAAAAACTTATTTTAGGTTCAATGAAAAATCATTTCAACCCAAACTTTAAAAAAAAAAAAAAAAAAAAAAAAATCAAAATTAGTTACCATTTGACAGCTTGTTAACAACTAGTACATGATCATCTTCATAAACTATATCCAAAGGTATATCTTCAGGTACAGCCCTTAAAGGCTGCAACTCCGAAATCGTGCAATTCACCTTATCCCCAACTTTCACTATGCGAAGCCTGCTCAGTCAACAATAATTCACCTCTAAATAATTCGAATATATAATTAATATTGAGACCTCACTTAAAAAAATATCAAAATACACAACAACTTCCTTGTTAATAACTTGTCCGTTAACACTAACGAGGCCGAACGGATACTTGACTGAACGCGAGCTCTGCTAATTCCAACAATGCGAGATGAAATCCAAGAGTCGAGTCTGAGTTTGCCTGCAGCTTTTAATTGACTGTTTCTTCCAATTGGACGCCACCGAAGTTGGTGACAGGTTCTTGGTTTTTGTCTCTGCTGGAACAACAACGAACTCTCAGATTTATAAACCCTAGAAGAGTTTATTATAGGAGAGATTTAAGGGCTCCTTAAGGGAGCTGAGCAATAAGATAGTGAGTGGAGAGAGCTGAGCTCTTGCTGTTCTGTTAAGTTTATTTGTTTGTTGGTCACTCCTTATATAATCACAATTACACGTCGTTTACCATGACGTCTTTGACAAATGATCTATAACTTTAAATCCGACTAGGCCTGCAAAACAACTCGACGCACGAGCCGCTTGGGCTTGAACTTAGCTCCACAAAAGTAAGTCAAGACCATAATACTCAACTTGAACAATTTGCAAGTTTATTCGAGTTCGCATAGCATATAATTTCAATTACAATATTATATGTAAATTAAACCTATTATAACTGAGGTCGAGTTCAATTTTAACTTAGTTGTAATCAAACCGACTATACACCTATGACATGGCGGTATATATATATATATATATATATAAACCGTTATAACTGAGGTCGAGTTCAATTTTACTTAGTTGTAATCAAACCAACTATACACCTATCGACAGTGGCAACCCAGATTTTTGCGGGGGAAGGGGGTTCTCTGCGGTTCCTTCATTTTTCAAACAACTAGGAAAACTTTAAAAAAATCATCAAACCTTAGAAAGAAAAATAATTAATATCATAATATGAAAGAAAATTATACAATAACATAACACTTTACTACTTGAATAACTATGAAAGCAAAACCTTGAACAACTTATGTTGAAAATAACATCATTCAGAGGAAACAAGAAAATTTTTACGTGGAAAAACCTCTTCAATTAAGAGAGCAAAAGACCACGGGAATCTACGTCTACTTAAATCCAATATAATTAAAAGATTTACAACAATCACAATTCACACAAAGTTCTACACAATTTTTCTTATTTCTCCTTCATTTTTTTTTTTTTTTTTTGGCTTTCAAAGATTATAATAAATTTTCATGACTTTGATCAGGCCTAACCTAAGCTAAAACAACAAAAACTTAAATTAAGTCAGCGTTCCTTAAGCATCAACGTATATGTTTCATGTAGGAAAGTGATGGATGAGGATAAAGAATAACATTCAGTAAAATATAGTTAAGGTTTAGTTTGAGAAAGCTGAACATTCTTAAACAAAACAAACTCACAAGATCCATGCATTTTTCCGTCAAATTAGAGTAAAACCTTCAAAAACAAAACATGATTCAACCTAAAATAAACTAAAATGAAATGAGCAATACACATATCTAAAATTGATAAAACAGAAACGAAATTAATTGTGACACCTTGATTAGTGAAACTTCATAATTTCAATCTTCAAAAGTTTTAAAAACGAATAACATAGAGAAAGTGAAAAAAGAGTAAAGAATTTTAGGGATAAATCATAAAAAATAGGTGGACGTAGAAAAAAGTGAAAAATTTTAAACTTTTAATATAATGTAAGCCTGGAATGCTATATATTAATAACAATTTTTTATAAGTCTGATATATATATATATTTTTTTAAATCTAATGTAGCCCTAATATTATATTAATAGAATTTTTTTATGGCCTATATAATGGGTCCGCCCTTGCCTATCGAGTAAGAGCTCGAGCTCGACAATTGAAGTTTAATCGAGCTCAGCTTCGACTATGTAGTCGAGCTTCTCAAGACTCGACTCCGACTCAATTACAACCGTAATTATTCCCAATTATTTAGCGGAATTATAATTATATTAAATTTACAAATTGAAAATACAAATAAGTGTTGGCAAATTTACCCCATGATGAGCTGAGTTGCATTGTGTAGTTTTGACATCACGAAAGCTGCAAGGAGTTTTATTAACACATGCACGAAGAATAAAGCTCAATTTGCAGCTAACAACTGCGACTCGGCCATCTATTGGCTTTTATTATCTTCACAAGGTATAAAAACCTGCTTTTACGTGAGTTTACTTTCCCATTGTATCTTGCGGTCCTTTTCTCATCATGGTTGCAAACTCCCGTAGTTAATTCTTCCATCCTGTTTACAAGAATCCCATTATGATAAAATCAGTCATCATGATAATGCCAGTCAAATATTAAGATGCATGCGTTGAAGTAGAGAAAGTTACTTTATCGGTATCAACATCTTCAATAATTTCATCTATTGTCGCCTCATCACCCATTCCATGTTTGAGTCATAGCTTGTCTCACTCCTCTCTTGTAATAAAACTGATACAAATAAATCCAGTCAGTTCAAATTGAATAATTCTGATAGCACATGCTCAAAACTAATGAATTGATTGATTTAGTTCGAAATTCGGAATACTTGTGGGATTTTACTTCATAAGCATTAGGATCAATCCTTACAAGGTAATGGGTAACTCTTAGAGAAACTTGACAGAAAAAAAATGTAACAGTACTACTAACCCGCTGCTGTCCTTGTCAAAATATTGAAATGCTTCGTACAAATGTTTTCCTTCTCTAGTTTATGCCTTTGCATAGTAGCAGTAATGAATTCAGTGTATCATGGTTCCACTTTTGTCAACATCAGCCTGAAAAAATTTAAACCAGTCAACAACTTTTTACAGGGCAAGAGGGAACCATATAATTTTTGCTTGAAGAAGTTGGCTATAAATATCCATAAACATTAATGCAGAATTTCTTTTCTCACGAAAGAACACTAACATATGGAATGGTAAATTCTTACGGCATCCATTTATTTTGGAGCATGAGACCTGACGCCACGTTAGATCCTTCAAGTTTGCATGGTTAGCAATTCTGCATTTTTCTCTATTTGTTATGGACCTTTAGCTGTAATTCAAGAAATGATTCTGCAGTTTGTCACCTTTAGCTGTAATTCAAGAAATGGTTCTGCAGTTTGTCTTGCATTTCAGAAGAAAAGTATTTGCCTCTTATCGTCTTCTTCTAGCATGAAACACTAACAGTTGCAAGTTATTTTACATTTTTTAGCAAGTGGTTTTCATTCACCAACACAATGTTATTGATGAGTTAAAATCATTTTGTGGTTGATTTTAGGCGGTTGTCCTGTAATCACAGGAAACAAATGGTCATCTACAAAGTGGATGCATCTCAATGAGTACAAAGTCTGAGCTATTATCTGTAAAGGTAATTCTCAATGCCAAAACTAGTAAACTGCAGGTAAAGGTTGCTGGCTTTGGCTTTCGAATTGGATGGTGTTCTAGGATGCTTATTGATATGTTGTTGCAATACATTCCTATTAAAATTGTTGGCTCAATTTTGTTTTCCAAAACATGCTGAATTACGTCTACATTATGGATGTGCATGCTGTTTCTTTCACCAAACAAGTTCTTGGCTACGGCTTGTCAAAATGGAATTGTAGGGGACATCAACTTACATTTTTAACAAGTATGGCTAGTGGTCATTGAAATAGTGAGTATGTTTAATTATATGAGTAGGTAGCAATACGAGCATGGAAAATACAGAACTTATAGGCTTGGTTACACTCATTGTAATAGGATGTTATTTTAAGGCCTTATGGAATTGCTCCTTTACTCGTTACTTATATTTGCTTATGATTACTATCATTAAAGAAAGTAAGATATGCTATTGTAGTAGTATTTTTCTGCATAACATGGGTGAAGATTCGAAGTGATGTTTCTTCAAATTGGTATACGTAATTCTCATTCCTAACTGCAATTTTCTGACTGTACAATGCAATGCTGTTGCATGAAGCTAATTACTTGGCATTGATACAATTTCTTCTACTATGTCAAATTGGCAGGACTTAAAAGACATCAGAGTTTGTGTGGTTAATGGAACATTCTGGTGTGCCCCTCCGAACTACCATTTAAACATCATCATTACAACTGAGGTGACATGATTCTGTATATGACGGGTTTTTGTATCTTTACACCTGCCATTTAGGTAGAAAGAAGCCCATCGTTCACTTGGAAGATAAAATGTGGTTCAGAGGATGTGATCTTCTACTTAGAAAATTATTAGCAAAATAGGAATTAGGTTGTTGCAAGTGATGTCTTGACAGATTAGTATAAACAAGCCAAATAAATTCTGAACCACATTATATATACTTACTTTACTTAGGAACATGCGCATACTTCATGTTTATGATACTACACGTTGCCTTGGAGTCGTTTGATTTATTTGGGATCAAAGCGACCTGCACTATCCTCTATGTTCAACAAAGCTACGGGCACCGAAAATTTTGTACCAAAAATGTGTACCGACCTACGTGTACCCCTGACTCACACCAACAGTCCAGACGTCTGATTTTCCTATAAATATTTTTCTAGTGAACGACCGTCCATCAAATATGGACGACCGTTCACTCACATAGGCCCCCATCCATATTATATGGACGGAGGTCCATATATGACGGACGAGCGTCCCCATTTAAAGGACGCTTGTCTATGAATAAAATACAATAAAAAAATTTTATAAACATTAGGGACAGCCGTTCATCTGTTATGGACGATCGTTCCTTCATTTTGGACGGGCGCCCGCAAATATGAGACGTCCGTTCTTAACCAAAATATGAAAATAAAAAATAAAAAACTTTGGAGACAATCGTTCATAAATTTTGGACGGGCGTCCATTAGGAATGGACATTTGTCCATACTTTAAAAAAAAAAAATTCTAAACAAACTTCGCTCTTCTTCTTCGTCTTCATTCCTTGTCTCCTCTCTTTTTCTTCGTCTTCATTCCCCATCTCCTCTCTTCTTCCTCGTCTTTGTTTTATGAGATAGGTGTGCCAAATCTAAAGGTTCCAAAGCCCAAAAAACTACAAAAGCAAAATATGGAGAGCTTAAACATTGCATCTATATACCCAAAAATACAGTTAAAAGATAACGTTGCAGGTGGCTTCCCCTTCCTACAAAGTTATTTTCAATTTATACCACAAATGAAAATAAGGGAGTTAGTATTACCAGATCTCATGAGGTTCCTGGAAAATCTAGTACATATGGGACAGCATCAGCTGTTGGGAAAAGTGGAAGTCTATCTCTAGATGATTTAGCCAAAGCTAAGAAAGCTTTACAAATGCAGAAGGAATTGTCAGAAAAGCTGAAGAAGATACCATTGGTAAGAAGAATCTGCACTGTTAAGAAAGTTGTTTCTTTCCTCTTCTTTCATGTGGTCAATTTTATGTTTGTTTAGCAATATGTATTCCTTGGTAGACACTGAATGCTGCTTTTCATTTTTTTAGTTGAACAAGGGCACAAGTTCGATGGTAGCTCAGTCTTGGATTGAAAGATGGAGAGAAAGTGCATCCTCTGGTACTGGAATAATGCAAGGAACAGGATCAACAACTACAAATGCTTTATCATTTGGTGCATGCCTAGTTCATCAAACTTACAAGCTGCCGCAGCAGCTTTTGTGAAGCCACCTGCAAGTGGGGTGCCTACTATTCCTGGCCTTACAATATAACCAACATTGAAGCTGTTAAACGTGCTCAAGAGCTCGCTGCTAAGATGGGCTTCGTCAAGAGCCTTAAATTTTGGGTAAATAAGTGCAATGTTTAAGCTCTCCCTGTTTTGCTTCTGTGGTTTTCTGGGCTTGTGAGCCTGTTGATTTAGCACGTTTATCCATAAAACAAAGACGAAGAAGAAGAAAGAGATGGGGAATGAAGACGAAGAAAAAGAGAGGAGATGGGAATGAAGACGAAGAAGAAGAGCAAAGATTGTTTAGAATTTTTTTTTTTTTTTAAATTATGGACGCTCCAAACGTAAAGGACGGTGTCCAAAATTCATGGACGGCTGTCCGTAAGAGTTTTTTTTTTTTTTTCATATTTAGTTAAGGCGGACGCTCCTTATTTGCGGACGCCCGTCCAAAATGAAGAGACGGCTATCATAACGGATGAACGACCGTCCTAATTTTATAAAAAAATTTTATTGATTTTATTTATGGACTAAGTCCTTTAAATGGAGACGCATCCATCGTATATAACCCTGTCCATATAATATGGACGAGGGTAGTGAGTGAACGGTCATCCATATTTGATAGACGGCGTTCACTAGAAAAATTTATAGAAAATCATAGCCTAGACTGTAGTGTAAGTAAAGGTTCACGTAGGCGGTACACATAGGCCGATACACATTCGGTGTCCGAGCTTGTCGCCTCTATGTTTTTCAATTAGTAATTTATTTCTCTCTAACAGAAGATGATGATGGGCAATGGATCGAATAAAAAATAAAAATAACAAAATAATAATAGTTTTTTTTACAACATAAAAAAATGAACTGTCACAAAGTTATCATGGCAATGGTCACCTTCTTAATAAGAAGCCACGTTGATCCGGTACTTGTTTTGGACCCAATAATAATTTGACCTGAAAACAATTTGTTGAAGCATTTGCGCTTTCTTCCAGACATGAAATCGAAGTCATCTTTGTTAATATGTAATTCCACGAATGGTTGTTTAAATTCTGGGACAAAATGGTTACAAGTCCCGTTCAAGGAATCTGGACATGATTAGATCATCTGTAGCACTGCTCACAAGTATCTTGAAATGATCATGTTCATCTACCTAACAGTATACTTTACACCCAAACATGCGTTGTAATGTCAGCCACTTTCTCTGTCAATGCAGTGTCTTTAGTCATTACAACCTAGCTTTCTTTTAATTTCATCATGTTACGTTTAGGCTGCACATCAGGATATTGATGCCAGAAAACAAGTTCTGAGAAACATTTCCTCCAATCATTAATAACAACATTAAATAGAAAATGAATAGATAAAGAGTTCAACCAATGGAATTCTCTAACTTCTATCAGTCGACAAGTTTCATCAAAAAGTTGGCCCGATAACAAGACTGGGCTAAACCCCAAAAGCCGACAAGGCAAGATTGGCTTGAGAAACGCAAATCCAACAGTGTGTAAATGTAAATTTTGGGTTTCTTTTTGTTAAGTACCCACCAAAATTCTTTCCAATGCAACAATTACAAACAAGAGAACTTGGTGAGCTTAATTTGGTAACTCCGTTTTTTTCTCAAAAGCCTTCAATCCTACTAAAGCTTTGGAGATGAATGTCGAGGGCTATGTGAACCAATGTCAATTGACAAGTAACGTAAACAATCTCTGAACATGTATAGCAAATAGATGCCCAATACCTTTCGGTGCCAATTTCCCGCAGTTGGTGCAAAGCCTCAGCAAAATCAGGAGGTGGTGGGCGTGAAAAGTGTGATATTGTCCCGTGTGTGTGGATGTATGAACCTACAAATTCGAAGCAATAATCTTATGGTAAAACACATAATTAAATAAGAAGTTAAATGTTAGAGATAGCTTATATGTACCCAAGAGCAAAAGCATGGAGGCAAGGCCTCTCAATCCAGACACCAACTTCAAGAGTTTGCCATCACAGCGGTGGAGTTCTGGGCTGAACAGTGACATGGCCATGTTTTTGTCCCTCCATACATTACACCAATAGGAATTCCCAGGTACTTTGCATGTGCACGTATCTACTACATAGATTCCACACCAGGAATTGAGAGTATAACTATAAGAGTCAAAAACTTTAAGTTGGGATTTACAGCATAGTGATTTAAATGACTACAGCTAAAAAACTATATAGATTTCAATGTTAAATAGACAAAAAGACTTTGTGGTGCTATTTCTCCACCCAGCTTACACAACCTGGCCAAAGAATTTTGTTAATCAAGGTGATAGAAGACTAAAGTGATCATCACTCGATTTTTTTTTTTTTTTTTTTTCACCTGTATTTTTAAGTAACAAGCATTACTCGCTAAAGCTCTTTTTGACAAGTAGATGGAAATCTTATGGTATAATATTCTTTTAAAATTAACGAAAACTCTTTGTGGTTTACTCAAAAACTATGCTAGGCAAAGTATAGGTTGATGAAGTAAAACACTAATCAATGCAATTAATATATTCATCAAGATTGGGAAAAATAAGCTAAAATTTTATACACCCTGTAGTACCGATGAGTGCGTCCAGTTCTAATCTCCACTCCACCAGTGCACAAGCACCACAGCAAGAATTTCAATTACCTTGTACCTGATAAAGGTTCAACCAACTTTAACCAAACACATCAAAAACTGGGAATGTTTACTCTTGTGAGTGTAATCTCTCAGAGAATAAGCTTATTCTGTCAGATGACACAGAAATAGAATATTCTTGCTAAAATGGGTTTGAATCAAACATATAAAACTGCCCTCAGAATAGATTTTATTCAAGTCCCAATCTTCACCTTTTTGTGTCTTTTCCCTGATTTTTAAGCAAAATTCAATAAATCAATCACAATTATATTCTACAAAATTTCGTTCCTGCCTGAATCTCAATTTCAATAGTTAAGGTATTTTATAATAAAATTCTAATCAGTGGGTGTTTTTATCAACCCAACTGTTAGATTTGCTACTTACTAATAAAGTGGAGAACCATAATTCACCTACTAGCTGCATAACGAGCCTGCCAGTTTTGATTGGTCCAGGTATAGCAGTCATAAGAATCCGGTTGTTTGAATCACGACCAATTGGAACCTCAACACGTCCAGAAGATTGGGAAGGAATCCAGAAGTAAGACTGATATAGACTCTCTGGATACGTGGCAACTTGAATTGTTCTGATAAATGGGCATGAGAATGTTATCCTGCCATTGACATGTAATTAGTCAAAGACTAAAAAAGTGCAATAGGCTAACCCTAAATTAACTATGGGAGGCAACCTTAAATAGACTAATAACTGCTGATGCTTAGAGAAATTATCAGAAGTGGGCAAAATTCACCTTTGCAACAACAAGCAATCCACTGGTGCCTTTGTCCAACTGTGCACAATTCCAGGTCGAACAGATGCTGCGCACATATACTTGAAGTTAACTCTTCCTCATCAGAAATATCTCAGCATCTGAAAGAACTTCTGGTTTTTAAATGCAACCGTTGGAAGACTGCAATGGTGAAGAATGCCATTGACAAGTGTGCCAGTAACATTGCTGGTGCTGGATGAACGACCTGGTAATGAAGAAAACACTATTTGCAGCATCAGAAAATAGGCAAAACACCAATATATCTCAAAGCTAATAATCAATAATGGAAATAGTATTCAGCTAATTTTTGTTTACAACAATTTCAATGAAAAAAAAAAAAAAAACTTATTTATGTTCAATGAAAAAATCATTTCAACCCAAACTTTAAAAAAAAAAAAAAAAAAAAAAAAAATCAAAATTAGTTACCATGTGAGCAGGCTTGTTAACAACTAGTCATGATCATCTTCATAAACTATATCCAAAGGTATATCTTCAGGTACAGCCCTTAAAGGCTGCAACTCCGAAATCGTGCAATTCACCTTATCCAACTTTCACACTATGCGAAGCCTGCTCAGTCAACAATAATTCAACTCTAAAATAATTCGAATATTATAATTAATATTGAGAATCACTTAAAAAAAATATCAAAATACAACACAAAACTTCCTTGTTAATAACTTGTCCGTTAACACTAACGAGGCCGGAACGGATACTTGACTGAACGCGAGCTCTGCTAATTCCAACAATGCGAGATGAAATCCAAGAGTCGAGTCTGAGTTTGCTGCAGCTTTTAAATTGACTGTTTCTTCCAAGGACGCCACCGAAGTTGGTGAC